TACTGGTTCGGGCATAATAATAGAATGAAACCAGAAATAAATACAAGGCAAATATTAGTTAGTAAGTACGCGCAAACGGAATCAGCCATGTTTTATATGGAACCAGTGTTGTTCAGTGAAATTTTATCTGGCGTGCGTAAGAAAGTTCAGTGATAGCCTGTGTTAGGGTGTTCACTGTTTTGGAATTGTGCTATATATAAATAATATAAATGTAAATCTATTATTGATAATATAATACAGGCTTTGAAAAACAATAGAGAGATTCATCATATTAATCTTTATAGTTTTTTGAATAATTGTCACAGGTATCAAGTAAGAACTTAAAGAGTTTTATTAATTAAATAACCGCAAATTTATTTTATTATATTTTGTTGCAATATATCATTTGACTTATAATCAGTACCCATTACAGTCAGTTCATTCGTTGTTCTGCAAGTGCTGGTGTGGACTCAAATATTTCATGTCGTTTAGAAAAATCTGAAATTTTTAGTAACATGGCATCTACAAAACCTTCACAGTTTTCAGTACCAGAATTTAACAAATTTAAACATAACAATTTCTTAAAACCTCTTTGAAATTGAATGATAGTTAGATTTATACAATTACCGTGTAATTTTTAACGGCATATATTATGTATCCACAACTTTTTATCCACGTGTATTCATTTTACTTCAAAAACAATCAAAAAACCGTGCAATATACATAAAATACTCACGAGTATCTTATTCTTTGTATTTGCTTAATAGTTGTGTGAAAATTAAAAATAAACCATTTATTAATGACGTTTGTTTTTAATTTCCAGTAATTTCCCATTCAATTAATAAATTTCGTTATTAGTTGTTTATTGATTTTACTGCTAAGAATTACTTATATTTGCATTTATATTTTAAAAGCATGTCAGTGGAAATAGATATAACAGAAAATATTGTCCTATGTCGTGTATCAACAAATTTGCATCTTAGGTGATGATATTCACTTTATATTATCAAAAATATTTAGACTATGTTCACTACGGAAATAATCCTAATCCATCATATGTATGTATCTATTTCTAGTATTGTATATAACTTTCAAAAAATGTTCTTTTTTTCTATCCTATATTTTAATTAAGTACATTTCAATATAATATTTTAATCCAGGAATAGAAAAATTAACCCGGTTTAATTTATTTTCACAATTTTCTCAAACCGATCCTGTGTTTTCCGTTTTAAATATGGCGGCGATCGCGAGCTGATACACTTCAAAGACGGCATTTGAGAGTGGGCATTTATTTATTACACCTCATTTTAAATACTTTGAAACAAAATGTTTAAAAATTTGCAAGTTTCCTGCAATTCCTGGTAGCATTTGCTATAAATCATTTAAAAAATAGTAAAAGTATAGGTACGTTTAAATAAAATTTTCGTGAATCTCAACCTGTACAGACTATAATCATTAGAGTTACTTTATTTTAAAGACTTTAAAAATATTATTAAAAAACTAGTAAATTTCCGTGAATCTCTTATTTCGCCAGCTATAAATAATTAATGATATATATTAATTCTACAGTTTTTCCCCTTTTTTGTATAATAAATGTCTGCGAAACAAAGGTCGTCTGATGTTTTTATATCTGCTTGTGAATCTATATGCAGAGAGTATTATTTATTGATATAATGGTTTGTTTCGCAAAAGGGTAAAGTGAAAAGTCTTAATCGCTATTAAAAACATTGAAAATCATATCATTTGTCCTGTTGATAAAGTCTAAGTCTAAGACCTTTCGGTGATGAAATAGATTACCAACCTTATACTTCAAACTACTAGACTATATTTTAATAAAAACCACAGATACCGAAATGTTATACGATCGCTGAAAGCGTACCCAGGTGCAGATGTGGCGTCGGACCACAATCCTCTTGTAGCAAAATTCCAACTTCACTTAAAAAAAATACAAAAAAGCTACAAAAGTGATAAACCAAACATAAAAAAATTAAAATTAGAAGACGTCAAAGAAAAACGGAAACAAGAAATTGATGCAAACCTAGAATCCACACCGAAACCAATTGATGGCGATGTAGAAAAACAGTGGCAATTCTTTAAAAATGCAATTATTGAACCAAGTCGCAGAGAACTCACAACAACCAGATGCAAGAAAGGAGATTAAATGACAGAAGAAATCTTGGAAATCATGAAGAAAGAAGAAGGCAAAAGAATATCAACATAACTCAGTATCAACAGCTGCATAATCAAATAAGAAGGAAAATAAGAGAAGCTAAGAGACTTATTTTGCTGGAAAAAACAAAAAACCTCAAGCATACTATTGGACAAACAAGGAAACATTTTAGTAGAGACGGAACAAAAATTAGGAAGATGGAAAGAATATATAGAAGAATTATTCCATGAGCAGAAACAGGAAAATATATATGAAGATAATCAGAGTAAAGACGAGGGACCCGAAATAACAAAGTCAGAACTTATACATGCAGTAAAGTCCATGAAAAATAATAAAGCTAGTGGTCCAGATGAAATACCAAGTGAATTGCTAAAACTGGTCAATGAAAAAAACAGATCTTTTACCCACCTCCCTTAATTATTAAATACCTTTTTTCAAGATTTATGGTACTTTACCTAATGATTTATCCAAAGGTCACCAATTAAGAATTATTTGAAATAATACTGTTCTGCAGGCGACAACACTTGGTGCTCCTTGGAGTTCATCAACTTCCCATTTTTCATCTCTGTCTTTTTTTCCTCAATTTACAGATATGCTTATCAATTTTTTTTCTTCAAAAATATAAACCCCCTTGTCTCCTTTTGAAAAAATCAATGTTGTCCTTGTTCAAAATATAACACTTGTTACATAGGTCAGACTGGGCGTTTACTGAAGCGTAGAATAACTTCACACCGCAGTGGCATTAACTTATCTAAACACTTTTATCCCTTAACACAACCACAGACATATAATAGAAATAGACTGACTGTTGCAATACAGGCTCGTTCGCAAAGTGCGGCAGAGACATTTCTGTGCTCCCAGTGCGACAGTCCTTTACATTAGTTATTTAAGTCACATGTTCGATAAATCCGGCCATTAGAAAAAGCTTCAGGGACTGCTTTCCGTCAGTTTTCTCTGTTGCACTGGGGGAACAAGCCTGTACTGCAACAGTAAATCTATTTGTATTATATGTCTATGAGCGCAACATGCCATTACAACTAAACGTATTAATTGTTTTAATATATTTGGAAATTAAAGAGCAGATGATGCCTCTTTGTTTAAATCCTATTGATGGAATCATTTCTGTAGTAAAGCAGATGAAAGATATTCTTCTTCTCCCTGGTCTTCTCTTTAAAAATACCTTGCCCTGAAGAATGAGTTGCAACAAGCCGTATCTCTGTTCATTCCTCATAACATGGTCAAGATATTCTAGTTTGCGCTCTGTGATGGTGTTAATAATCTCGCATTCCTTGCCCATTCTACGTAGGATCTCAACATTAGTCACACGATCCACCCATGAAATTCTTCAGATACGTCTGTAACACCACATCTCGAATGACTCGAGTTTTCTTAAGGAAGCTTCGGAAAGTGTCCAGGCCTCTACTCCGTATAATAAGGTAGAAAATACATATCATCTAATGAGAGAGATTTTGGTAGCAAGTGGTAAATCATGACTTCTGAAAAGAGACTTCATCATTATGAACGCTGATCTCGCTTTTTCTATGCGTTGTTTTATTTCACTGGAGTGATCCCATTGGCTGTTAATGTTGGTACCAAGGTATGTGTAGCTGTCCACTCTGTCAATTGGATGTTGGTTAACCAAAAGCTGTGTATTTAATATTTCGCGCTTACTGACTACCATGTACTTTGTTTTCTTCGTATTAAGATCAAGTCCGTGTTCTCTACTTATATACGCAACATTATTCTTTGCAAACCGTCCAGACTATCTGCAAAAACTACTGGAGTGACCCAAAAGTGGGCTCATCCACTTTTGGGTTACTCACAAATGACACGGTCCAAACCCGGAAGACGAATAAACTATAATTCTGACTCTGGCCGTGAAAGCCTACGATTTCATATCTAAGGTTGTTTACACGCATTCCGTTGACTGATACGCCTTCTTGTAGTTCTTCCAGCGCTTGCTCGAAGATATATTCAGAGTATATATTAAATAACACCGGGGACAGAATGCATCCTTGCCTCACTCCTCTATTTATGGAGACTGCCTCTGTCAATTGATCATCCACTTTAATATTGGCTGTTTGATTGTTATATAAATTATAAATGATTCTCAAGTTCCTATCATCTAAACCCACTTCTTTCAAGATGTTTATAAGTTTGTCATGTTTTACTTTATCAATTGCCTTTTTGTAGTCGATAAAACAAATATACACATCGCAGTTAACATCCCTGCATCTTTGCATAAGCACTTGGACAGCGAATAGAGCCTCTCGGGTGCCTAAGGAATCGCCGAATCCAAACTGCGTCCATGATACTTGTTCTTCGCATTTTTTATATATTCTGCCGTGTATCACTTTTAAGAACGTTTTAAGTAAGTGGCTCATTAGGCTAATTGTTCTGTAGTCTTCGCATGTCTTGGCATTTACTTTTTTTGGTATGGTCACGAAGGTCGACTTTAACCAGCTTTGGGGTATTTTTCCAGTTACGTATACGTTGTTGAATACAGTTGTTATCCATTTTATTCCCTGTTCATCCATAAGTTTAAAGAATTCTGCATAAAACTCGTCAGGCCCTATTGCTTTACCATCTTTACTTCTTAATAGCTGACGTGACTTCTTCAATGGTAATCGGGGGTCCTGTTTGGCATTAAGTGTCTTCAATGGTAGTCTGCCTTTCATCTGCAAAACTTACTTCCACATAATTCTTTCAAGTGTCTAGTTTTTCTTCCGCAGTTAACAGTGGTTTGCCTTGGTTATCTGCCAAACACCCAACTGATATGAGTATATCAGTCATAAATCATTGCTTAAAAAAATAGATCTTAATAATCTAAATTTATTTTTTAATTTTTTAGCGGACCCGAAAGATAGTTTTTTTGCCTTCCACGGCAAAGTTAATCAAGAAATTAGGGTAATCGAAGAAGGAGACTTCTTCGGGGAAATTAAAACACCAACCGATGGATATTTCGTCTATAATAATCCCAAATTACGACTAAATCTAGGAGATGAGGTAAATTATTGGATATATATTCAGCACGATTTTCTCGGATATAGACAAGACAACAGGACATGGAGAGTGACAGGTAAAAAATAACTATTTTTAAATAATTTTACATTGTATAAATAATAATGTGTTTAGTGTATAAATTATAATTGAAGTATTTGTAAGTATTGAAGTAATGTAACAAATATTTGTTTGATCTAAAAATCATAAACAAGCTAAATTTTGTTGAGAATGCCAGTTGCGCGAGAGAAATAAATTTTTTAAATAAAGTTTGTATCAACTCGACGGTGTAATGGAATTCACATACACAAACACAGACAGTGATTAACCCCGCCACATGTCCAAAGATCAAACCGATCATACTTCGCTGTTGAAATGGTACCTATCTGACTCCCAGGCTTTTTCTCCACCCCTCCTCAGCGTGTTACTTATGTGAGGAGGCTTATGATCTGAAAGTTACTTTGGGTGCTCTGGGTAGTTCAAAACCCTCTGTTTTTATTGATTGTGGTTAAGCCACCTAACTGTAGGGGTAGCACACATATCGGCTTTTTTTCCGTATATACTTTACTGACTCTATTGAAGTTACTCTAACATGACATCGGAACTGGCGTCCCTAAAGAAAAAGGGTGTGTGTTCCGAACAGAGATCCACCAGCCTGGGCTGATGACTCTGTCCGTAAAAATGTGTGTGCTCGTCCACTCTGCCGCCGATTAGGCAAAATAAATTTTGTTCTCTTCGCCGGCTGGGTATTCGAGTGGGGTCCGGCCACCAAGCCCATGTATGCTGCACATGACCTCGGTGCTCAGAATTCGCGTTAAGATCGAAATACGATCTGCCTGAGGGGCTAAGCCTATGCGACTGTCATAAAAGGTCTGACGGGCCTTTTATATTTATGTATTTTGTTAGGTTTGTTATGGAATAAGGCTTTGGTTTTATTTAGACAGTGAGCGGATTTTTTTGTTTTTTACTTATAACTACTACTTAATCTAACTTAACTATGGGGTGTGCATTCCCAGGTGTATATTGCCCTCACACACCCCGGTGTATATTGTTCTTATATACTATCGTTTTAGTCTCGTCAGACTGTGACTGACTTGCTACAACCATCCAAACTTATCCAACCCACCATCTCTTGATTGGTTGCAGCAATTCTACCTCATTTTTATTTTTTTGGTGTCAATGTCTAAGCTCGCTCTTTTAGCTACTCTGTGGCTATCTCATTTCATCATTTTATTCTTCTTCGCTATATACAGTTAGTTATTATTTCGGCAGTCTGTGCACTGTTCTTGTGTTTACACCGTAGTCCATCAACTCTCTTAGTATTCTGTTGGGGTGGTTCCTGAGTCCATTAAAAGTGTCATATTATGTTCTTTCGTCCATTGTCTTTGATAGTATTTTCTGACCAGACTATCTAAATAAGCATTTTAATGGGACATATTTTGGTACTTTTAGGGCTTCTCTGATTATCCAGTTTTGGAATGTTTGAATCCTTTTTTTATTGCTTTTGCATGTGTGTCCCCATGCGGCAGATGCATATGTTAGTGAGGGGATTATGCTGTTAGCTACTTTCATTTTCGTTTTGAAACGAAGTTTGCTCTTTCTGCCTATTAGCGAAGAGAATTGACTTCTTAGTACTTTTGCTTTGCAGACTGCTTGCTTTACGTGCTCAGTGAATGTAAGGATTCTGCCTAGTATAACTCCAAGGTATTTTGCCTTGTTAGTCTATTCTACAGTAGTGTTGGCTATGGTGATCTTTCTGTTTGGTCTACTTCTTCGGTGTCTGTACATGACGGCCTGTGTCTTTTCGGGGTTCAGGGCAATTTTCCACTCTATGTACCATCTTTGGAATCTATTCAGAGCGCTTTGCAGGTGGCTGGCAGTTAGGTTATAGTCGTCTCTGCTGCTAGCTGCTATGCCTGCGCTACCAACTTAGTAAGAAATGAATAAAGCAATTCAGTCTCTAGCCAGAAAAAAGTCACCCAGAGCAGATAACCTTGTAACCCTCTTTCTTTTTCTTCTTGTGGCCTGCTCAATTATCGTGATTTGGCTATCAAATTGGCTATACTTATTTTGTTGACTGCAACTTAGAATAGTAATGCTAATACTTGTTTTGCTGGTATATACCCGCATCACGTCATTACGCATTTTAATATTCATAAGTTTTCTGCACGATGCTTCATTCTATCTGGCTTAGTGTATTTTTTGTTATTTCATATCCCTCAATCACTTCACTTTTACAGGACAAGGTTATTTATATTTTTTTCTAAAATTAAATTTTCTACGTTATCGCCATACTTAATAATGATCACGAAAAATTGATATAAAATGTTTGTTTGGGAACATGTTTGGGTATGTAGTATTTACTTTCATATTTTCAATTTTTTATTTTATTTTACTATAATATGATCTAATTCAATGGTATATTCTAACTTATTTGCTTTAAAATATATTGTTTCCTGTTATTCAGTAAAAGCGCATTGTTAAACTGGCTAGCTAGTAGCTATTTTAGCTACTCGTATTTACAGTCAAAATATTGCATTTTTATTCATTTTTATTCGAATATTATTTAACTAGCGACCTCTTAAGTTTTATACAAAACAATGTTATCTTTACAATACAAATTACTTTTCTATAGAACTCCTTTCCAAGGAACCAGATAATTGCAAGGCAAGCAAATCGACAGTAACGGGACGAGTGAGTGTATGCAGTGGCGCTACTGTATTTCAGGATAAGTTTGATGGAGTTGTATTGGACAACAATAAGTGGCTAGTAGAGCAATATATTCCAGATGATCCGGTAAGGCATAATTTCTTTTGTGGCCAGTTCGTGTATATTATAATCTAAAAACTAAGCACACATACGTTGTTTGTTCTTGGTTATACTACATTTGAGTGCAAAATAATTGACTCAAAATTATTTTGCGAGAGTACGTCTCTTGTTTCAATCTAAAAAGTGTACAATAAGTAGTAAATCCACTGATACATCAGTCTTTTTTACGAAATTTGCAAGTGCATTACAAATGGATACAACATCTGCCAAAGCAGCTCAAGCAGTAGCATTATTAAGAGAAGCCCTGAGCCAGAGGAGCCGACTAAATTGAAGCCAATCAGCTGTGTCCCGAGTAAATCGTCGGTACCAAGATACTGGTGACTATATCCGGGGACAAGGAGGAGGTTGTAGAGGAATAACAACGGAGAGAGATGATCTGAGGTGTGGTTACCAGCATTTGGACAGTCAGAAGGATGCTGAAGGTAGCTGTACGATACGGTACCTTTGAAAAAACTGTTTCAAACATTGACGAAAGTAGGTCTCAGTAGAAAGTATGTGGATGCTATCGCAAATATATACAAAAATGTAAGAAGTGTCGTTAAAGAAGGAAACTTTATATCTGAATCATTTCCAATAACAAAGGGGCTTAAACAAGGATGTTGTCTAACTCCGACTTTATTTAAAATATATATTCAATCATCGCTAAAGCAGTGGAGGAAACAAGTGTTCGGAATGGGAATAGACATAGGCGATGGTAAATGTCTAATAACTTTATTTTTCGCAGATGATCAGGTAGTCGTAGCGAATGATGAGGAAGACATGGACTACATGTTTAGAAAACTAAAGAAAGAATATGAAAAATGGGACCTCAATATGAATATGTCAAAGACAGGGTATCTTAAAATAGGAGATGATGAAGAAGATCCAGAGTTAGAAATTAGAAACACAAAACATGCAAGGAATATAAATATCTCGGACCTATAATATCTAAAGAAGGCACTTATAAAAGAGACATCGAAAACAGAACGCAGAAGAGAAAAATCGATTAACATTCTAAAGTCTCTACTATGGTATAAAGATATTAAACAAGAAACGAAATTGACAATCTATCGAATAGAGCCTATTATGACTTATGGGCAGAAGTTTTTTTCAAATCACAAAAAAGGATAGAAAAAGAATAGAAGTAGTAGAAATGGATTTTCTAAGGAGAGTATGTGGTGTATCCAAAAAAGATCATATCAGGAAGGAGGACAAACTGTATATTCCAGTGTAGGCAGAATTGAAACGAGACAACTAGTGTGGTATGGTCACGTGAAGCGAATTAATGAAGATAGATGGCCAAAGAAGCTTTAAATTACATACCACAACAAACTAACAGGCAACTCGACCAATTTTCTATCGTATATTAATTCACTTCATAGTCATATTGAATTTACAATAGAAACAGAACAAAATCAATGCATAAAATTTTTTAGATTTAAAAATTAGCAGACTTCAAAACAAACATGACTTCTCCATATTTCACAAACCTACCCATACTGACACGACTATACACAATTCATCATCCCATCCAACACAACATAAACTGGCAGCTTATCATAGTATGTTACATAGATTAACAGAAATTCCGATGTCAAAAGACAACTTTGAGACAGAATTAAATATAATTAAGCAAATAGCAGTAAACAACGGATACAACGAACAAACAATTAATAAAATGTTAAATCAAAAACTACACAAGAAAGCCCTGAAAATAGTATTTACACCACCAGAGAAAAACACCGAGCAACTTCTGCTCGATTACATATACAGGCAAAATAACAACAAAAATTGCCAAACACATAAAAAAGAAAGGAATAACACCAGCTTTCCGAACAAATAACAACCTAGGTAAATATATTAAAAATAACAAGAGCCAAAATAAAAAACACTTAAATAGTGGTGTGTATAAAATTCAATGTGGCGACTGCCCAAAAACTTACATCGGTCAAACTGGTAGAAACTTTGAGAAACGAATAGCAGAACATAAAAGGGCTTTCAAGAATAGAAAAACAGATTCGACATACGCACTTCACCTTCTAGATCATAATCATTCTTTTAATGACAAATTTAAAATTCTTCACATTCAAAATAAAGGCCTTAAGCTATCTTTGTTAGAATCTATGGAAATCAACAAATTAAAAAACACAGATATAATTCTGAATGACCAACTTGAGACAAACAGTTCTCCCCTCCTCAACCTATTTCATTAGAGACTATAAATTTGTAAACCCAAGCCAAAAATAGATCACTTGAGAAAGGCTATCAGCCGAAACAGCTGTAGTGATAACAGTTAAAATAAATTTTGTGGAAGTTTGAAAACAAAGTTTTCAGTGTTTTATTGGTATATATATAATTTTGTAATTGATGATTTCTCTGTTCATAACGTCTTTCGTGCGTTAATTCCAATGATGAAAATTTTCTGAAACTCTAATGCAACTTTAATGCAATAGCAGTTTTTGTTTCAATAATATATTGTTTGCACATTACATCTTTTTATTTTCATACTTCTTACATTGAAACAAAAGGTCTAATGTCAAATATTGCTTTTGAGTCAATTTTTGCACTTAGGTGTATATTATAGGTAGAAAAGTAAAAAATTAACTAGTTTAGATATTATTATAAATATATTAGAGACGTTTAAGTTAAAAATACTTCCATTGTATGGTCTCTTCAAAGCAATTTAAGTAAAGAACGCAGGGCGATATGGCCCAAACATCATCCTTCAGTTTAAACCTAAATGTTTTCTTGTGACTATTTTTTACATGTTTCCAGATTGCATTTGTTTATTTTATTAATAAAACTAACGAATTTGGATTTAATGATAGACAGACAATATAAACTATACGTTTGTGTGTCTGAATATACATAAATTATATATTTGACTCAATTTTAGGATTATGAATTTGTCACGTACCAAAAAGATGATACCGTTGTTAAAGTACAAAATAATAACTTAGTAATTCAACCAAAACTTCTAAGTAATAAAGATATTCAGGCGAGCATGTTAGATTTAACAAATGGCTGTACGCGAACAGAATCTAAAAGAGCACGATGTAAAAGCAAGATGTACTTGTTACAAAATCCTGTAATTTCGGGACGAATAGTCTCTAAAACCTTCTTCTCATACGTTGATGTTGAGATAAGAGCCAAAGTGCCTTCAGGAGAATGGATGTATCCAGGTAAGAATATTAAATAAATACTATAGCTACTTACACAACAGATAACAGCCTAAGATGGGCTCTTGCTAAATTAACTATTTCCAAGCAGATAGATTTTTGAGCTACTGTTCGCTGCTTCTACCAATTTACAGCTTCCCAAAATATGAGTTCTTCCTCGATTACTTCCTACCTCCTTAGTCAGAAAAAAATGAATAAAAAATATCAGACCTCTAGATTTTCCACAATTTGGTGTTCTTTTTATGGCAGTATACGCATCTGCGTTGCTGTACTTGATAGGTTCCTAAATGATCCAACCTATCGTAACGTGAGTGTTCTCGTTGATTGCTTGGTGCTTTTGAAGGACCACTTTTGGTGGCTCGATTGTGGGTTTCTAAGAGCTCTACTGCAATAGGCCTTCGAAATGATAACTGGTTAAGTTTTCCACCATACTGTTTTTGCATGTGATGCACGTGAATTCAGAACTGCCATGTCGACACAATGGACATCAAAGGAAAGCAGCTTGTATAGTTGTTTCATACTGAGCAATATTCTGGTCGCTTTTATCAACTCCACTCATTGCACAGCTGTATGGCTTAGGCTGATTTATGTATATATATACTTCTTCTTGGATTGTGAAAATCATTTTACTTTATTTAGAGGGAAAACTAAAGACACGTTCAATGCCAAAGTAATAACTACACCATTATCATTCCAATTGCATATTATACTATCATCATCTACCACTGAATAGTCAAAATCACCTCTGCAGTTGTTCTAAAATTTTTTATTGTTTTAAGGGGGCATTCTGTTTAGTCTTATGGTACCTGTACCTTTTATGTTTCTAAACTTAAATTCTTTTAGGAGAGACAAAGATATGAAGTAGTTATCAAAAAAAAAACAAATAAAAATGACGCAAATGGAGTCTTCTGTAAAACAGCTGCGTATTTAAGAACAACTTCTTATTCAGCCTTAAGTAATCCCAAATTTTGACATATGCCTCCCCCAAATCAATCCAGTGTTTTCTATTTTGCGCCACTTGCTTTTAGTTGTCCTCTCAGATCAGAGTGTCCTCTGATCTTCTTAATGTCATCAGCTTATCTCATTTGTGGTCTTACTCTGCTGCTCTTTCCTAACCATGGTCTCCATTGTTGTATTTCGTGATCCATTTTTTATCCTTCAGTCGAACATTGTGTCCTGCGAAGCTCCATTTTAATTTGGCAGCATGTTTTTCTGCGTTTTTTACTTTGGTTTTGCTTCTAATCCATTTGTTTGTTTTTTTGTCTATAAGTCTCATCCCGAGCATTAATCTTTTCATCGCTCTTTGTGCCTTTACTATTTTATTCATTTAGACTTGGTGAGTGTACACGTTTGTTAACCATACGTGTGTATAGGGAGGATACACTCATCTTAAATTCTGGTTTATATATATTGTTCTATTTTAATGCTTTTCAAGATCCAACTCAGTTTTCCAAATCCTGTCCAAGCTAACCTTATTCTTCTGGTAATTTCAGCAGTTTGATTTTTATTTGTTGACTGTCATTATCTGTACCAGTTTCTGTTCAACAAAGTCCGCTAATGACTTATCATCATCTAAATCATCGTGATTTGGTACACTAGTTTGAGACTCTGTCCTTAGTTGATATCCAGGTAAATTATCAACACTGACCTTATCTTCTTCACCTGAATCCTCATTGGTAACGTTATCGTTAGCATTTTCAAGAGGCAAAATCGCAATTCTATCCGGAAAGTCAATATCTTTTTTTCTATTTCCTTAAGTAGCTCCGTTAGTGTAAGCAGCTTTTTCCAGTAAGAACGACTGAGAAAAAGAAAAAATATTGTTTTATTGGCTTTTTAAAAAACATGATAGTTTTAGCACGTGTTATAATATTATAAATAACCGACAAAATATTCTTTTGTCTTGCCTGAAATAATTACTTTCTAATAGTTTCTAAACTTTAAAGTATCTTAAATTACTCCTACACAAAAACTTCGCACTGGTGTGCACTAAATGAGGCATATAGTATTCGATAGGTAATATCATACTTTGGGATTGTAAAACTAATGCGGCATCTACATTTGAAAGGTTAAAGTTCGTAATATACTAGAAGAAATCTTCCGGCCTTTATAACGAACGGTAGATTTAGATGGATTAATTGGGTTGTTTTTTTATTTATTTCAAATGTTTCACTGTGGCGCCCATTTCTTTTAAATTCTTTTTCTTGTCCTTTTCTTTTTATATTATACCTACGTTTATTACAAAACTTAATTATCTAACACATGATCAAATATTTATATTCGATATTAATCATGGTTATATTTTTAGAAATGTATCTTGAAGACGAAAATTACAACCGATTGGTTATAGCATATACTCGTGGCAACAAAGTGTTAACAGGAAATGATGGGACAGATATTGGCGGTTCGCTCTTATTTGGAGGCCCTATGTTAGGATTTAGTGAACCTGCTAAAAGTTCAAAACTAAGAAGTACCCGACAGACTGAACCATTTAGTAATAAGTTTCATGTTTATAGACTGAGATGGACACCAGGTAAACGTAAATTATAATGAGTACATTTCTTTTAATGTTTTTTTAAATTTTCTGAATTTTTATTTTTTTTAGATCGAATTGATTTATATATAAACGGTGCAAAATTTGGAACCCTAGATGCGTCTTCAATTAAATCCTCATTTACACAAAATCCACCAGCTCAAGTAAGTATTAAATATATATATATATATATATATATATTATATATATATATATATATATATATATATATATATATATATATATATATATATTTCTCACAAGAGTGATTGTAGAATTAAGAAACCATCTTGTGCTTTGGTAGAGCATGTAATAGACAAAGACCATATTATGGATTTTGATAATATTAAAATTTTATGTAATGAAAGTAATAAATTTAAAAGAACTTTTTTGGAAATGGTTTGTATTAGCAAAAGTGATAATAATTTAAACAAAAGGTCAGAAATTCAAAATTTAAGCAAAATTTATAAATTATATAATTTCTATTAATTTATGCAGTCAGTAAAATATCACATTTTGAATTTTCCATATATTTGTTACATTTTTTCGGGCATCTATCAATGGTGAATAAATCTTCTTCTTTTTTTGTTACTAAACAAAGAAGAATTTTTTAAACAAAATTTTATTTTTGACAACATGTCATTAATAAAAATTTTTAAGTTAGTATTTATGACATTTAGGTTTTTTTTTTTTTTCTTAAGAAACTTCATCTAAATTTTTTCAGAGAAACATTTATTAGAATAAGACATTTTTTTATTAATGTTTTTTGTATTTAATATGTAAGCAGTAGTTTTATATAAAAAACTAATTTTATTTGGTGAGTTAACAAAAAAATTTTTTATTTCTAGTTCAACTTTGTAAGACATTTTGTATTTTTTAGAAGCTCTTGATAAAAATTGTAATCACAATTGAAAGCTCGAGTAAAAAATAGTCAACAAATAGCCCCTTTTATTGACTCCAACCCATCAAAAAACAGTGTTATATATATATATATATATATATATATATATATATATATATATATATATATATATATGTTCGGGAAAGATTTTTCGCGGGTAGTACAATGAAACCTGGAGCTAAGATTAATACTATTACAAAAATTAATATTAAACTCACCAGTCTTCCGGGTTGAACCGCGTCGATATCCATTGGGCCGAGCTTTCGACATCCTTTTTGATGTCTTCCTCAGGGCTTCCGAGGTCTCAGTCTCCCCAGCCCCCAGACACTACTACAATGGTCACTGATCAGTAGTAGTGAAGTGATCAGTGACCAGTGTAGTAGGTTCTTCGATGATGTCTTCTTTGCTTAAGAAAGAACATTGACCAAGGATCCCCTCTTATCTTCTTTGTCAGTACATCCAGAACAAAATTAAACAAATAGGGACTCAGTGAAGAAACCTAATTCAAATTAACCGTGACTGGAAAACTATCAGTAAACCTGAAAAAGTCCTTACTTTAGTGCTTGCTCCCTCAGACATAACATTCACGAGACTAAAAATTGATTCCTTCTTAGGAATCCATTTTTCTCTCATATATTTTCATGGCTCTTGTCTTGTCTATACCTACTTAAGATCTATAAATACAAGTGTAGATCTTTTCTCCCCGTATTTCTTTATCAGCTGTCACAAAGCAAAAAAGCATTCGTTGTCCTCCTTCCTTCTTCTTCTTTGAGTGCCTCTCCTATTGCAGATTGGATATATCATTAGAGCGATTTTAATTTTTTAATTAGGGCGATTCTAATTGTATTGCCTTCTTCCTTGCATAAATCCAAACTGTTCTCTTCCTAATACTATTGATGGTCCCTTCCTTAACGTTCGCTCTACAGTTCTCTTCCAAAATTTCATTGTGTGCAACATCCTTTCATAGTTATTATTCCTGAAGTTTTCCTTTATCTTTATACTGTGATACCATCACGCTGTCCCTCCATGTAATGCGCACCCTTTCTTCCTCACTTATCATTTGCCACAATACATCAACCCCTTCCTCTCCTTGAGCCTTCCAAACCTCCACAGGTACTCCTTCAGGCCTGGTAGGTACCTTTGGGTCCTGCATTCTCTATACCTCCCCGGGTGTCCTTCATTTAGTACTTCCTCTTAAATCCTTATCCTTTATACCACTGTAAAATCAATTACGCTATTTGCTTCATCATTTCTTATCCCCCACCCTCCATACTATCTTTGTATCCTACTCTTCCTCTACCAATATGTTCATTCAAATCCCCTCCAATAAAATACTTTTCATCTACAAGAATCTCGAGCATCTCGCAATCAAGGACACTCCCAAATGCTTCCACTTTGATGTTCCTTTCACTCGTTGTTCAAAATAATACCCACTCCCTTCCTGCTATAACTGTTTCCACTACTGTATATTAACTTACATCCATCTCCAACATTTCTCCATTTACTACCTTTCCAATGAGTTTTTTGCACACAAAGTACACCATTCCTTCTATTCTGCATAAACTCGGTCAGCTCTATTCTTTTAGATATCATACTTGGGGGTTGCAATCCTCAGGTCTAGTTTGTTTGACCCCTTCCGTCCTCTAAGGGGTAGACTTAGCTCACTTTTGGCATGGGTGAGGCGAGGCCACCAACCGACCAACTGTGAATCGCTTACGGGGAGCCCCCTGGCCGCTAAAACATGTTCCGTATTCTTTCTTATCATGGTAGATCTAGCTCACGTTTGGCATGGGTGAGGCGAAGCCACCAACCGACCAACTGTGAGTCGCTTACGGGGAATCCCTTGGCCGCTAAAACATGTTCTGTATTCTTTCTTGTCATGGTTTTAGCCAGGATTTTTTACTACCAGATGTTATTCCTGACCTAAATCCTCCTTCTTTATCCGGGCTAAATAAATAGCAGGGGTAATGTTAACTAATAAATGAAATGTAGAACTAAGAAGGAATGGAGTAAGGCCAAAATCCTACCAATTAATAAAATAACAATATCTTCAGTTGTATTAATGACCCTAGTATAAACGAAACCAATAATATACAGATTAATAAAACTGATGTTACAAGGAACAAATACAGAAACAGTAGATGGGAAGGAAAGAAAGAAATTCCAAATATTTAAATTATTAAGCAAGATGATACATTGTTGACTCTTTTTTCGTATCTTGATCAAATTGAGTAGTTCTCTCTCAGTATTTGCCTTTCTTAAGACTTTCTCATTTCTCATCCTATCTGCAAATCGGCTATAAAGGTTGAAGAGCCGCAAAAATTAACAAATGTTTAATATATGCAAGGGAACAACAATAGTGAAGCATATAACACTGACCGTCAGTGATAGTCATATCTATGAGAAATAATAAAAAAGTTAAGATTAATTAAACGAATAAAAACACTAGACCTGAATAAAAAACGCTATAAATATTTATAATAAGAAATAGTCAAAACCTGATGTAAAAGACCACTTTAATGACAACTTTTGAATATTCCACCACCTATATATCCAGAAATCCCTAACTTTCCAGTCCAAAACACATTTCCTTCGATCCATTTCAACTCAACACCAATAAGTAAGCTCTCCAAAGTGAAACAAACCTATGAATCATGTTATAAGTAGCAACAACTTATTCCACCATTAACAAATTATATGCAGATCTCCATAATTCATTCTATCTTCAAGAAAAATTTTGCTACTTTTCTCGAAAACATTTTTATTATTATTTTTGGCAAACAACTGCTATTCCCTCTTTACTACAATATCTTTATACACTGCCTTCAGTGAACACTCCTTAGCACATCGCTTAACTTATCTCCAAAACAAAATTAAGAGCAAACTAACGCCAACTCAATAATTTTTCAGGTGTTCTGACTACTGAAAACTTCTTTGCCGACTCTTTTAAAACCATATTAAGCTCCACCTTTTTTTTTTGTTTCACATAAATAGCTTTCGATCTACAATGGATTCTATCCTAAAATTGAACCTCTACAAGATTCTGTTTTCCTCTGCATTCAAGAAACTTTTAATACATATTTAGCTTGATTTATAAATTCAATTTTAGGCACGTTTAGTCTTGGGGATAGGCGTCGGAGGAATTAACGATTTTCCAGACGATTTTATGTCAGGAAGTGTACCGAAACCCTGGAGAAATAGAAACAGTTTACAAGTTAAATCATTTTACGAAAGCAGAAATCAGTGGTTACCCAGTTGGAATACCGGTGGACAGTTGCAAGTGGATTATGTTAGAATTAAATCAATTTAAATTTACTGCGTTTTTATTGTATTAAAATTTTATATTTTTTCACTAGAATTGTTATTCATTACATAAAAAAAACCGAATATATATTATGATCGACAATTTGGTTCCAAATTAAAGTCTGGTCATAGTGAGGAATCATATGGTCATAACAGGTGTAGTTCTGCTTTTTTTTTCCACGCACCTTCTGCACCTCCTCCGAAGCGATCATAAAAGGAATAGACGAAATAACTGCAGATGGATAGACTGCATGTCGAGGAGCCGTTTAATACACACCATTACAAATACTAAACGGTAATAAGATTAACAAGATTCCTTATCACGTCGTTCAAGCGAAAGGGAGAACCACCGTATCCGAGATTATTCGGATGATGATAGTAGTGGTGAACGGGTTCTTAATAGTTACGCCACCATCAGACCTTCAGAGTGTACCTCCCGAAAATGCTTGGGCCTCAACGGTCTCAAGAACATCGGAAATACGTGTTTTATGAATAGTGTAATCCAATGTCTGTCGAATACCAGGTGGTTGTTGGTGTAGTTAAAGAAAGAGGGATACGTCAAGGACATTAACACGAGCATATCCAGCATGAAAGGTGCTCTTATAAAAGCATGTGCAGAGGTGATTAAGGAATTGTGGTCACAAGATGCATCCGATCGAGTAGTCAACACCGGTTCATTGAAGGGACAAATACAACGATTTGTTCCTCGATTTATGGGTTATTCCACAACCACCTTTACTTCCAAGCCATGGAGTAAAAAAGGCAACAGCGCATTCTATGACGTCGGTAGTCCGATAATCAGCTGTAAGGTTTACCACATGTCTACCAGAAAATTAAACTAATTTGAATTCTCCTCGATTTATGTATTATTCCCAACATGATGCGCAGGAGTTTCTACGCTACTTATTGGGAGGGTCTGCATGAGGATGTGAATAGAGTTCAAGAGAAACCAAAGCCTATATTAAGGGTTCTTTAATTTTTATGCATTGGTGATTAAATTGCTTTAAAATAAATATTCTTTGACTTCGTAAACTTCTTTGGTTGTGTGTAAATTTAGTTAGATAATAATAAGTTCAATAGCAATACAGGAAACGTGCGTTCTATGGAGAAAATTCCGACATGTTCTTGTCAATATTTGTCAAACAATTTTACTTATTGTTCCTAGGCTAATAACAGTTTATAAATAAAGTGAAGACAATAAAAAAAATCAAATATAGCATTTATTATTTTACCCCAAACACATTAAATAAGATCACAACCATTAACTAATTTCATAAATTTATTTCTGATTCTCTGCAATTAACAAAAATATATTGAACACAAATATACATACAGTCATTAATGAATATAAATAATAAACATTTTTAAAATGTTTAAAATTACGAAAAAGTTGCATTCGCCTTAATTACAAAAAAGCATACTAGCTCTTGATCACCTAAAATTTTATAAAAATTATAGTACAATGTAATAAAGTTACTGAAAATCTATTACGGTTTCGACAGATGAATTCGTGACATCTTCATCAGAAAAATTTAAAGTATTTTCCTTAGAATCAGTATCCTTTGACATCAAAGGAATGTTTTCTTTAGTTTCGCAGATCAAATTTTCCAAAATTTCTAAAACAAAAAGTAAATGAATCAGAGAAGTTGTTCGATAAATTTTTGCTTTGGTTTGAGAAGAAAGTATACTCTCATAGTATTATCAAAATAGTTCATTAATTACTATTTAACTGGGAATAAGCCACAATTAAAGATAAAAATACGTTTATTGACGTTTCAATTTCCACTTCGGAAATCGTTCTCAAAATACAAACAGTAAATTAAACAAATTTTGTTTTTTGTTACATAGTGAAAAATTCTTCTAATATTTTAATTTTATCTGACTCATTTATATTGACAATTCAGACATATATTATGAATTTTAAAGTAGACGTCTTTAAAATGATATTGCCAATATTGTTGAGTTGCGCTCCTGGGACGACTTTACTCATAAGATAGTTCATTCGATTACATAGAAATCAACTTTAACTTGAGAATATCCGTCAGAAAAAAATCATAGCATGTAATTCGTCTTTAAAAAGACAAACACATGACATGATGACAGTAAAATTCTCCTGTTAGTGATTCCATAGTAAATTATGAGGGAAAAACCAGGAAAAAAACCTCATAATACTATCCCGACATTGTAAGTATTTGTTCGTGAATTTAGTTTACCTTCAACAAACATCAAAATTCTGATTTTATATGTTAAGTTATTTAAAAAACATAAATGATGTATCCTCTATATGTTACTGACTTACTAATACTGGTATTTTTTTATTAATAACTTCCTCTTTCAATATTGGTAACCAGATCCTACTACATTCTGCCGAGGAATTTGCGACACAATTGGTCTCATTTAGTATAATTAGAGCCGTTTTTTTAATTTTTCTTTTTTTACCATCCGTTTCTTTTAGGACTACATTTCAATTATTCCATTGAACCCTATGTTCATTATCCCATGCGTGTTTACATATTTGAGATCTATAAAATTCTCTATTTTTAATATAAGATTGATGTTCACTTATTCTAACATTTAATGGCCTTGATGTTTCACCTAAATAAAACTGATCGCATTCTTGTCCTTTCTTGTTCATTGTTAGGTTTGGTTTTGGACAAAATAGATCTCAACGTGTTTGTTGTTTTGAATGTTGTTGAAATGTTAAATTTATTTCCTATCCTTTTAAGTTTTTCTGATAATCCTTTTATGTAGGTACGGTATTGTTATTTTCCTCGTATTATTCCTTGTGTATGCTGTAGGATCTCGTTCTAAGTTGTTCTGTTCTATTCGATCGATTGTTGAAAATTCTTTATTTATAAACGATAAAAGATAATCATTTTTTAATAAAACAGATGTTAACAAATGTTTCTCCTCCAAGAACGAATTTTCGTTAGAAAATTTTCAACAATCGATCGAATAGAACAGAAAAACTTAAAACGAGATCCTACAGCATACACAAGGAATAATATGAGGAAAATAACAATACCGTACATAAAAGGATTATCAGAAAAACTTAAAAGGATAGGAAATAAATTCAATATTTCAACAACATTCAAAACAACAAACACGTTGAGATTTATTTTGTCCAAAACCAAACCTAACAATGAACAAGAAAGGACAAAGAATTGCATTTATAAAATAACCTTGTGAATGCGATCAGTTTTATTTAGGTGAATCATCAAGGCCATTAAATGTTAGAATAAGTGAACATCAATCTTATATTAAAAATAGAGAATTTGATAGATCTCAAATATGTAAACACGCATGGGATAATGAACATAGGGTTCAATGGAATAATTCAAATGTAGTCCTAAAAGAAACGGATGGTAAAAAAAGAAAAATTAAAAAAACGGCTCTAATTATGCTAAATGAGGCCAATTGTGTCGCAAATTCCTCGGCAGAATGTAGTAGGATCTGGTTACCAATATTGAAAGAGGAAGTTATTAATAAAAAAAAATACTAGTATTAGTAAGTCAGTAACATATAGAGGATACATCATTTATGTTTTTTAAATAACGTAACATATGTACAATGTCGGGATAGTATTATGAGGTTTTTTTTCCTGATTTTGTCTTTGTCTTTTCTCCTGGTGTTTGTCTTTTTAAAGACGAATTACATGCTATGATTTTTTCTGACGGATATTCTCAAGTTAAAGTTGATTTCATGTAATCGAATGAACTATCTTATAAGTAAAGTCGTCCCAGGAGCGCAACTCAACAATATTGGCAATATCATTTTAAAGTCGTCTACTTTAAAATGCACAATGTATGTCTGAATTGTCAATATAAATAAGTCAGATAAAATTAAATTATTAGAAGAATTTTTCACAATGTAACAAAAACAAAATTTGTTTAATTTACTGTTTGTAGTTTGAGAACGATTTCCGAAGTTGAAATTGAAACGTCAATAAACGTATTTTTATCTTTAATTGTGGCTTATTCCCAGTTAAATAGTAATTAATTTACAATGCCACAAAAAAATTGCTTCAGAACAATATAAAAATTGTTCAGTAACAAAGAAACCGCAAGTTTGTTTTCCCCCAAAAACTTTATTTTCAATATTCTTTTTGTAGACCCAAGACATACTTATGTCCAAAAATACTGGCAATTAACAATACCTTTCATGCAGTATTTCTGCAGTTCTTCAGTTCTAATGATTGTGAAGTAACATACAGATATAAAGCAATGTCAAATACAATGGTTTTAGATGTTAAAACCTTTAAAGTTAATAAATACATTAAATAATTGTTGTATTTTATTTATTTTAACGATATAATTAGTATATTTTTCTGATCCATGGACATGTAGTACTTAGACTGAGCGCTGCAATATAATTCCGTTCCCCTAGTGCGACAGAGAAAACTGGCGCAAAGCAGTCTCTGTATATCTTTCTAATGGACCTGGTTTAACGATCACGTAAACTTTCCAATGGTCCTGTAGGCCACGTGGTCGATGAACCCGAAACATTACAATTTCTATTTTACGCCAGTCTTCACTGTCACACTGGGGGAACGAGTATGTATCGTTTTTACCCCCTTGCGATGGGGATTTTAGGGGGAAGCTCGGGGGTAAAAATGATAAAGATTTTTGCTTATTTTTTGGGGTACCAAAATTATTATTCTCGGCAAAATTCAGCCTGTTCGTATGATTTTTAAAGGTTCAGTGGCATTTTCGTTTCTGATGACTGGACTAATAATACTAGAAATTCATTAATATTTAAAGAAAACAAAGAAAACTACCAACTAAACGATTGTTTTGTTTTGCACGGCGTGATTCAATAAGCCATGATTATTTCGAGGCAAATTTGAAAACGTGCAATACAAATAAATTTTTTTTGCTCTTTAATGCAAGTGTGTAGTGATAATATTTCATAAACAATGTACGTACTGTTCAGTTCATTGAGAATTTGGTCTCCTTCCAACTTTTTTCTGACTTCTTCCAAGAATTCAATATTATCATCTTTAATACTATCTGATTGGGGTATACTTATTGCATTATTCTCCATATGTACTTGATGTTCACTTTGGACTGAAAAAATGAAAGTTAGCAAAAGTTAACGCAGAGAGAAAAACTAACCGAGGAAAAACGTGGTTTATCTACTGTATTTATTGGATATAAATCATAATTTTATTTAAAAATATATGTTGCGAAACAACAATATTTAATATTTTTATTTAATTTTGTATTATATTATTATATCACACTGTATATTAGTTTAGATTTATAAAATTCCTTTGTACCATCTAATAATATGTAAGGCGCCAATAGCTTGCATTCAAATAACTTTCTAGACACAAGTTTCTAAAACCTTCATAGAATCGTAACAATGATGAAAGGATTATAGATAAAGTCACGTTCAGATGGCAGTGTACGGATATAGGATAACAGCGTTGCCAATTCTACTGCCATTGTAAGTTTTGCTACTTTTGTAAAATAAGCAGGACCAAACTCACGGTAAACTAAGATATGTTTAGGTAAGCTAAAGTTGTTAATAGAAAATTCGTGAATGAAATAAATGGTAATAATTCCAAAAATGCTTTTATACATAATACCGCAGTTAATAGGGAAAAAAATATGAAAAATATTCTACAGGTTTTTTAATGTTCTAAACGGTAGATAAGGGATAACTGATGATAATTCCTTGAAGAATTACAGCCAATTTTGCTTTGTTTATTTTTTAAAGAAAGATGAAGTTTGGAAAAAATCATTTTTTTGCCTATTTTGTTCCTCGTGCATTTTAGGGAAAAATGTTTCAAATAAATGTTGCAGATCTTAAAAAGTTTTTTAATTTTTTAGTTTGTAAATTAAAATACATAAACAAATGACTGAGATAATTGCAAAAAACCCCTAATTAAGGCCCCTAGAACACAAGGGTGTAAGTGTAGTTGCTTATCACTTAGCAACTGATATCTAACAGCAAGCACGTACTTTTGGCTTCAAACTTTCTACATTAACAACAATAACACCATCAAAAATTACATGTCATTGAAAACATGCTGAAAACTGAAAAAGTGCTACCTAGGTTTTTAAATTTATATCGAACTTTGAACAAAGATTTTTCAAAACTTTGTTTTTGGCACTTACACCCCTTGTGTTCTAGGGGCCTCAATTGTGCACTAATTTATTAAATGTTCATAACTTTATTTTTTGATAATAACGTCTAATATAACTACTTGAAATTATGTCGATTAATGAGTTATTTAAGTGTGCTACATTTCAACCAGATCAACTAAATGCTCCATTTGCTTAATTTTTTCTAGTACTATGTCAAGGGTTGGAGAAATATTGTCCATAAAAAAACCGTGCACTACTTGTCTTATTCTAGACCGAGTTGCTTCATCATATATCTATTCTCACGACTATTCAAATAACCGGTTCTTTTTTTTCTTATAGGAGTTACGAGTGGACCATTTTTACTTTCACTTCTATATCGGAATATCGTTCGCTCAGAGTCTCCAGTCATAGCAGAAACTTTCCGCACTATTGTTGATACACTTTTATCATTATTACTGTTTGATAAATAGTTAAAAACATTTAACACTATTTTTTTTGCATTCACTATTTAACAAATTACCGTTTTTGAATTTTATTACACTCGCGGCCATTTTGACACTGACACGACACAAACGTCTGATATCAACTGAAAATTCTTTTAAGGCTGTTTTCGCAGTGATAGCATACTGCGATTTGAAGTGGGCGTATCACTTACTTTTCTACACGGCTATGTCAGACTCTACGTGACTTCCTAATAGTTTGGATGTTTATTCAGTGGCGCCGGCCCACGGGTTGTTTAAAATAAATGCATTATTCTCCATTCAAATTAGTTTTGTCGGAATACTTTTTTTTAGATTAATTATCGTAGATAATGTTTTAAAAAGAATTAATCACATTTTTAATTTATATGTCTTAGCTAAACATAGTATTAAATAAAAATTTGTGAAACATGACTGCAAAAAACACCATGGTGTTTATTTATAATAAATTTAAATTTTGTTATATTAATATTAATATATAATTAATATTTTGTTAATATTTGTTAGAGAAAACTGATATTAGCGTAGTAAAAATTAAACAAAAAATATTTTTATTTATCTATAAAAAATTGGTACCTGCGAAACCATCAGAATAGTAAATGTATTTATCTGGCAAGTATTTCGAGGCGACGCACTGCGAGGAAAAAGTTCTCTGAATGGAATATACATTATTTTAATATATTTATAGGTTGCAGTTACATAAGAAAAGTATCCAATTGATGAATAAAACACAAATCGTGGATAGTGATTTCATCATATCAGTGGCATTTCAGCTCGTCATGAGCCAAAGGCTTCTTCAGAACAATCTTCCATTCGCCCCTGCCTCTGGCAACTTTCTACATGCTTTAACTCCGATGGATTTTAGATCATCCTCTATGTTATCTTGATACCTAAGTTTTGGTCTTCCTCTGGATCGTCTTCCCACTGGTCCTCTTCGGTCGAAAATTTTTCTGATCGTTTCATCTTCATCTGGCTTACTTACATGTCCTATCTATCAAAGGCGTACTAATTTAATAAATTTTACAACTTCAGGTACTACACCTGAAAGAAGCATCGTAGTTTACTTTATACGATCTTTTTGACCAAGCACCATCAGCTATAACGGTTATTAACCCATTTCCGTCGGAATCGACTTCACCAATTTCTTTGGCTGAAGCTAATTCCTCCCGTCCAGCCTCTTCTAAGGAATCACAAAGTGTTTGGCCGATGATATCTGCAACTGTTTCCGTATGTTTTGCATACTGCCTGTAGGAAATCACAGGTATATTTAATGCAGCGTGCTGCTGCTGTATGTCTGAATAACCAGAACCATTCAAGTTCAGTGAATTGTTACCAGAATCCTATGTTGCTAACTCCTTTTCAATATTCCACATTTGACATTTAAAAGTCAATGTACTTATCAATCCGTCCATTTTTTCTTTGATAATCTCCATATTAGAAAAGTTGCATGAAAATGGAGAATGATTATTCAAATCTTGAATATATATATATATATATATATATATATATATATATATATATATATATATATTATATATATATATATATATATATAAGTTAAATAAAAGCTTTTAAAAACGGTTGTAATATAAATAAATAATAAATGAATTGCTCTCCTTTTCCTTGACATAGGACGTTTACTGGGACTCATTTTTTATCTTGTCTCTTATAACTTATATCACTAACCTAATGTAATACTTAAAAATACGCGTAAACTAAAGAACTTTTAACTTATACCACTAAACTAATAATATATTACTTAACATACACGTAAACTAAATAATTTCAATGTTTTCAAAATAAATAAGAATACTGTAAACTGTAAAAACTAAGCAAGTTAATAAAGAAAATACAAGAATGAAAGAACTAAAATGGATTCTAATTCAAGCGAACTAACTGACCGTACCCATAGAGAAATAAAAATAAGACCGTACCGTACGCTCATGTGATTTGACGTCACTAATGCGATAACGATCAAGCTCAGCGACAATGATGAGGAACACGTTTCACTATTAGATTTCAGTATTTTTTAGCAATTTTCTTCAAAGTTTGAATACGCTTTTCTCGATTATTACTGGACACAGAAAGGTGAAAAAAGAATCAACGATTACAGAAAAAAAAACTCTTTCAACTGATGGGCGTGAAAAGTTTGGTTATAATAGAACGTTAAACAGTATAATCCAATTTTTCAACAGAAAATTCAAAAAAATAAAAAAAGTAAAACCATCAGTTTAAAGGCAACATAATTTCGTATAACATGTCCAAATTTAGAGACATTTCGTCGGTAAATAACAGAGAAAAAATTTTGGTGCACCGATAAAACAGCCTTAATGACTCAAGTATTTACCTGAATTTATAATTGCTGGCATTAGACAATAATTTTGAATTTATAAATAGGTATATTTTTTTAATTCTAAATTATTTTTTAATGTCTGTAACTGTAAATGCAGGTAGAGAAAGTGTGTCATTAAAAGGACATTAAGATCAAAAACGGATTAATACAAATAATTATTTCATTTCCACAAATTGTAAACAATTTTGAACAGAAGATATAATTCCGAAAAGACCAGATTTCCGAAATATAACTTTCTATTTTTAAAATACCAACAGAAAAATTATATAATTAAAAAAATGTAGTATTTTTCCGTTTCACATTCATAAATATTTCCGAAATTATAATTCTTTTATAGGAGCCGGCCCATAACGTACGATTGTAGGTACGATTAAAAACTGACAACAATGTAGTTATTTCTGGCATATAGAAAGTACAGGCCTATCTCTGTAACGCTGCCATCTGAATGTGAATTTATCTATAGTATTTTAGAAATTATCGGTTTGACTCATTCGGAAATTCCAAAAGTTGAGACAAATACCCTTCTCAGGTAGTTTTTACCAATGAATTCTAAGTCGAAGGTAGTTGAAATGTAATTATATTCTTTATATACGTCGATGGAGTCAGGGGGGATATTTCTGAATGTTAACAAAATTACGAGACGAGAGATTGAAGGCAGTTCAAGTCAGTATGAACTCAAACTCCAGCATTGGATGAGGGCTAGGCTCTACTCGCGCTAGCCGCACCTCAGAAACCTAAAACGAAGTTCATCGAAAGCTGTGCAGACAGCAGAACATAAACTGATTATGGCGGAAAGACTTAAAATTGAACCTCAAAACATAACACATTTCCGGAGCTCAGAAAAGTGAGTTCGAAAAAAAAAATGAAAAAATGCTGCTGAGACGTGGTTTAAAACACTTATAACCAACAGACAAAAAATAGGAGATGAAATTTTAGACTTTTAGACCAAGGGGGTATGATATTTTCTTGATTTATTTTTTAAATAAATGACGCTCCTTATGACATATAATACCTAATCTCATTATATAAATATAACTTTAATTTAAACTAGTTTGATGAAACTGCGTCACCTTTGAACTTCTTCGGGTGGATATTGAGTTAATTATATAATATCATGCCCTAATGACAATGTTACAAGTATGTAAAATTGAATAACAAGTTACATAGGTGTTAAATATAAGAACCAATCAATCTACCTGTTGAAGCCGAAGTATTGGGGTCAGTAAAAGTACAGCTGTAGACAAAATTATTTTCATTTGAAGATAGCATTCCAGGTTGCTCATCAACTTCTCCAATGGGCCCAGGACTTACAACTGCTATTGACATTTGACCTGTTGGACCGCTCTGCTGAATAATGACTGTCGCAACTACTGGTATCTTAATCTGAACAGTGTTGCCAATTGATTTTTCTTTTTCTTTATCAGGTGCTAAAACGCATATGATCAGAGAAAAATAATTTAGGATGTTAAACAAAATGTTCCTAGGGTGGTAACAAAAAATCTTTCCAAAAAACGAATACATAAGTAAATGCTGTCAAATACGTAGCTACTAGGAACACATCTTTTTGCTGATCCCTGCATGTCTGAAGTAGGACAGTTAAGCTATAAAGCGCTTCTCTTGTGCCAAATCCTTGTCTAAAACCGAACTGTGTGGGGCTAATGTCTCTTTCACATCTGTTGTATATTCTTGTGTGAATTATATTTAAGAAGAGTTTTAGGACCTGGCTCAATAAGTTGATCATTCGGAATTGGTCGCAACTATTAGCGTTTGGCTTTTTTGGGATTGGTATAAAGGTTGATTGAAGCCAATCCTGTGGTATTTGACCGGATCCATAAACGTCATTAAAAATATCTACCAAGGCGTCTATATTGTCTTAACTCAACATTGTTAGAACCTCTGACTATATATAGTCTCTAATAGCTGTTGGTTTTTTTCTTTTTAGTTCCATTTTTGGACTTACAGTAATTATCTTATTTTTGTGTTTTGTTGTCAGCATCAAAACTTCACGTTTTTCACACCACTTCAGTATCACCACTCCAGAATCACTTTCCTTGGCAATAACTTCGCATTTTTAAAATTTTTTTTTGGACTATGTCTTTCGTGATTCCCTTCCGATTTTTTCCGGTGCCGACCAGATCAGTTTGTCTGTCCAGCAATTTGTGAGCAATGCCGATACTGGTATAGCAGTTATCCACAAATATGGTTCGACGACTATCCAATAAATTTTTGCAAAGCCCCATAACAATCAATGTTGGTACGCTGTCAGAAGTAGTATTTTTTTCTGTCCCACAATATATTTTGAAATCATACGTGTAACCTTGTTCAAGACAAAGTTTGAAAACTTTTACCACAAACTTGTGTCTTTTATTTTTATATATTGTAGAAAGTCCTCAGAAAGGCACGGCGGTTTTGTCTACGCAAACATTACGTGGAGGGGTTACTGCGTTTTGAAATTTTTGACTGATATGAATTAGAAGGGGTTTGATTTTGTAAAGTCTATGTGAAGTACATGTACTTTCATTATCCATAAAATGCCAGTGGCTCAAGAGGAGCTAAAATCGGTTTCTGGAGATGAACGATTTAATTTCGTTTGAATATAAGATATTCTAACAGCAATTGGATGTCACACTAGGCATCTAAACTAATCCCATCCAAATATGTACACCCAAAAATATTTTTAATTAGTCAGTAGTAGTATCCTTCCATTGTCAAATACAAACTTGAAGAAAATGGGTTCTTGATGCTTTTTGCGAATCGTATTTATTGGTTTCTTATACCATCAAATTCATGATATCGTCATCCAAAAACAGTAAAAAAAATCAATAGGCTGGTTATGATGCATACCAGATATCTTTTCATTTATATTCAACCCTTGCTCGAAAACAGTGAAATGTTTCAAATTATCCGCGATTACCTCATTTCTGTTCAACACTGTAGAAGCACTAGGTCAGCTGTATCACCATCCCATCCCACTCAAAGTTTCTGATAACACTTTCAATCGTTTCAATTATTAGATTCGTAGGACTTCTAACAGGATTAGTTTCCATGTTGTAAGCATACTTTTCTTGTTGAACGCTTTCGATTTGTACTGCAAATGATGTACTGGGTTGATCTATGTTATTAGTGTTATAAGAAACATTGAGTTGTACAATGATGTACAACCGTAAGTATTAACCACATTTTGCTCTAACCTTTGTCAACATTTTAATTTAACGTTCTTTTTAATTAAAGTGGTTATATACTTTCAGGTTTGCACTGATGATGGATTGATTAATCCGAAAACGGTTTGCAATGTGTTTGTGATAGCCCGTTTGGGGAATTTTTATATACCTTTTATAAAGGATTTTAAACAATTTTTTGTCATATATGGTATACAGCCAGTTACAGGAATTTAGTTTCCTCGTGGAATTAAACATTGAGTATTTTTTTTTCTTCTTTTTTTCAACAGGTGATGAAGAATAATTAGATGAATCTGAATAACAACTAGTTGTGATATAACTTTCCGATGAATACTCAAACACCTCTTCATCTGACAACATATCATCCATTAGTTTTTGTAGTTTACTTTGATTTTTTTCATAATCACTCATTTTTCTCAATTTTACTGCGATACTGTTACTACGATAACAAGTTGATGCGAACTAAATAATACACTTGTTAGACTCATACCGCTACAATACGCAGGTAAATAATGCACTGGTTAGACCCATACCACAGTATAAAGAGGTTGGAACCTCTTTATACTGTGCCCATATCGCTACAATACGCAGGTTTACTCTTGCAAATTTGCGAGCACGTGCACATCGCATGGCCTCAGCTTAACAATTTTATTTCTTAGGCCACGCGATTCACCCGTGCCTCGTAATCCAAAATCATGTTTAGAAAGAAATTTTGCTATATTTAAGAAACGGGTTCTTTTTGTACTGCATTTTTATGCGTTTTAAACGAAAAAAATAAATTGGCCTGGGAAAAGGCAAAAAATAATACCATTATGGAGATCAACGTGTTAAATATGTAACAATAAAAAACTCTTTTGTTTGAAACATCGGTTACGTTAATTACCTTGATTCTCTTTGTCGGTTTTAGAAGTTATTGAAATGTTACTGTGCGTTTTTAAATCCTCAGCAGTTGCAGGAACCAACATCTGTTTATCACCAGCAGGGAGCACTCTTACCAAAACAGGTTTGCCTGTAATAGGACGTAGAAGGGCGAAGGGAGTTTGCTTCGATTCTATAGCCAGTTTCATTGCTTCAGTCTTTATGGGTTCGACAATTATTGCGTCTTTGAAACTGAAAAATTCAATAATTAAGTATACAGTATTGGAAGATTTAAAACGGAACATACGGATTATTAATACAATTAGTAAGATCCCCTGACCTGCAATTACACAGTGTAAATTTCAATATAACGTCGCGATGTCTTATAATTAATTCATTTATTCGACTGGATTGCTACTCCTTCGCGATTTCTAGTAGCGTATTCGGCAGGTGTACGTCGACACTGTTGTCTATCGTTCACTGATTTTCTATGTTTTTGTGCAGATAATAACAATGTTTTATTAATAACAATTTTTTTGTGTTCATTAAATGTTATTTGAATTGGTTAGTGTATAGTTTAATATATTTATTATTCCAAATATTGTTGATAATTTAAAATTTAAAAGGATGTATATGATACATCAAAATCTACAGATTTTTGCCGAAGGTATCTACCGATTTGGCAACAGTCCCATGGAACATCACTGGCCGAGCAAAACAAATACATGCCCTTTGCTTTGTGTTTGGTAAGGTGCGCACGTGCGCAGCAGTCGAAAAATATCGACTGCAGAAGGAGTCCAGTCGAACAAATAAATTAATTATAAGACATCGCGACGTTATATTGAAATTTACACTGGGTAATTGCAGGTCAGGGGATCTTACTAATTGTATTAATAATCCGTATGTTCCGTTTTAAATCTTCCAATACTGTATGTTGTGTCTCCGTGGTTCCGTGTGGCTCCGTTTACATGTAGAGCTTTGACTCAACTCCAACCCCGTCCCTCCTGTGCCCAAGTACTGCGGCCGGTGCAGTCAAAACGGGCATACCATTGCGCAAAAGCAGTATCGGTGCCCTACTTGCGGCCAAGATTACAACTCCGTCTCCTGTTTTACCCCACAATTACCAAAATGCCCTACCTGTGGCGGTGACCATACGGCCTATTCGGCCAAATGCCCCCACAGAAGGGAAATTTCCAAAACTCCACAGGAAACACAATCCATAACCACAGAGAAACGTATCCCACCCTATGAACTGTCTTCAGAAATAAAGGCAGTCATGAAATACACATCCCTGATCCTCATTAATCTCCTTCCTGATAGGCGTCAGCTTATTTCGGAAGTAACAAACCACATCTCAACTCTGATGTTCGGCCACAAGAGCACTCTTGTGGCTCATATCAACAGAGAATTCATCTCCTTTCTGCCCTTGTAATGGGCAGTTCGCTAGGTGCTGTGAACTGCCAGGGTATTGCGAGAAAACGCCCCTTCATGAAACACATCCTACAACATCATAATATTCAAATCCTTGCCCTCTCCGACACCCTCTCCAAAAAACGACACAGCCGTCCCTGCAGCCAAGTATCTCGTGGTACCGGCTTCCTAATCAAATATGGTATTCCTTTCTCCCCTCACACCATCACTCTTCATGTTATCCTTAACGATGAAGACTTCTTGGCAGTTAACATCCACTTCGATAATAACACAACACTTACTTTTCTGAAGTTGTTAATAATTTTGAAAAAAAAAAAACGTTTAACCATCGCCTTTCACCTTGTCCAGGCGTTCCTCCGACAACCAGTCAACGAAACACCACGTCGAACAGACCAGCCACACAAACTAAATCAAACCAGGTCCTGAAGAGACAGAAAGCCTAAAACAGGATACCAAAATCCCAGACCAAAGAAACCGCCCAAAGAGAGATAATACTGACAATGGACTATATCGTGAATTCGTTTGTTTTGCAACTGATTCTTGAAAAATACCCCATATTACCCATTAAAATGTACGGAGAGCTATCAAAATATTGTGAACTGATATTATTTTGATTTTCTTATTAGTAAACAGCGTATTTGATTTACACCTCGTGAACCGCTAGAAGTATAAATTATTTTGCTGAAATTTTTGCCAATCTTTGGTGAAGATTGTGCTATGAGAAGAAGAAGAATGTAATGAAAATGAATGTGAAATTTTTTTTATTTTTTATTGTCAAAAATTTTGATTTAAGTATTCAAAAGCCTGAACGAAAAAATGTACCTATATACTTAAAATGAATCACTTGGTTTAATATCATAAGAAAGTCAACATGCGTATGTTTACAGGGTGAGTCATATCTATTGGGACATAGACTAAGGATAGGTTATCTGGACCAAAATATGGCTATTGGGCCAAATATGCCTTAATAAAATGTTGCTGAGAAAAAATATACAGGGTGTTAAAATGGAAATTTAAAATTTTATTTTTGGTTATAACTTTCATGTTTGCACAAATTTATGTATAAAAATTTACAGCTGGAGTACTATTGAATATCAGAAATTATAATTTGATGCATAATTTAATATATCTAATAGAGGGCGCCACATATGTCACATACGTGGCATACATTTACACTTTACTTTTTTGTTCTTCAAGTTACCGGTATTCTTGATAAAAAATATTAAAGATACATTATTTTAACAAAAAAAAGGTATACTCGTTAATAACTTCAAAACTCAACAGTTTTCGAGATAATCGAATTTTAATAATGCACTGCATAATTCTGATTTAACGCAATTACTCCAGGCAAAGAAAGAAAAATAGATAAAAACATCAATACTTTTGAATTTTGTTATAAAATACCTTTAATAAAGTCAATAGTTAACGAAATATTAAATAAAATAAATATATCAGCAGGATAATTAATAATAGGATTTGATAAAATAACAGAATAATTGGATTTTACATCAAACATTTTACGTTTTGTATTAAATTAAAGTCATAATCAAAACATTTTATTTACAAACCAAATTAAAAAATAGTTAAACTAAATAACATTAAACTTTTTGTCAAAGTAAGTGTTCGATATGTCCACCATTTTCTTTAATTCATTTGTCAATACATTTCATAAAATATCGTCTCATATTAAATAGCATTATTGGTTCTAAAGAAACTGCTGCAGTATTTATTATAGTTGTTTTAAAGTGTAATAATAAGTAATTTTTTGAAATTTTCATGAATTAAATAATTATTATTATCTCACCACAAGAATATGACTACCACGAACAATCCAACGTTCAGGAACGTGTATTTAAATACTGTCTCACTCCGCTTTCTCTGTAATGTAATGGTGTACCATCTTGTAGAAACCACATATTTCGCCTTAAGTTTGATAACAATTCTTCCAATAAATCAATAAAATCATTTTATAAAAAATGTAAATAAATCTCGACATTGAAATTGCAAGGTAACTCGCATATCCGAGAAAAATAATTATCAGTGGTTCCAAACCATAGGACATGAATTTTAAATATGAATTTTGAATGATATTTTACAGATATGCGAATTACCTTTCAATTTAAATGGTGAGATTTCTTTACATTTTTTATAAAATGATTTTATTGATTTATGGAAGAATTGTCATCAAACTTAATGCGAAATATGTGGTTTCTACAAGATGGTACACCATTACATTACAGAGAAAGCGGAGTGAGACAGTATTTAAATACACTTTCCTGAACGTTGGATTGTTCGTGGTAGTCATATTCTTGTAGTAAGATAATAATAATTATTTAATTCATAAAAATTTCAAAAAATTACTTATTATACTTAAAACAACTATAATAAATTCTGCAGCAGTTTCTTTAGAACCAATGATGCTATTTAATATGAGACGATATTTTATGGAATGTATTGACAAATGAATTAAAGAAAATGGTGGACATATCGAACACTTACTCTTACACTTACTTATTTAGTTTAAATATTTTTTAATTTGGTTTGTAAATAAAATGTTTTAATTATGACTTTAATTTAATACAAAACGTAAAATGTTATGTAAAATCCAATTATTCTGTTATTTTATCAAATCCTATTATTAATTATCCTGCTGATATATTTATTTTATTTAATATTTCGTTAACTATTGACTTTATTAAAGGTATTTAATAACAAAATTTAGAAGTATTGATGTTTTTATCTATTTTTCTTCCATTGCCTGGAGTAATTGCGTTAAATCAGAATTATGCAGTTGATTTGTAAAATGCGATTATCTCGAAAACTGTTAAGTTTTGAAGTTAATAACAAGTATACCTTTTTTTTGTTAAAATAATGTATCTTTAATAATTTTTTATCAAGAATACCGGTAACTTAAAGAACAAAAAAGTTAAGTGTAAATGTATGCCACGTATGTGGCATATGTGGCGCCCTCTATTAGATATATTAAAGTATGCATCAAATTATAATTTCTGATATTCAATAGTACCCAGCTGTAAATTTTTATACATAAATGTTTACAAACATGAAAGTTATAGCCAAAAATAAAATTTTAAATTTCCACTTTAACACCCTGTATCTTTTTTCTCATCAACATTTTATTAAGGCATATTTGGCCCAATAGCCATATTTTGGTCCAAATAACCTGTCCTTAGTCTATGTCCCAATAGTTATGACTCACCCTGTATAATGATATCAACGTTGTAGAAATTCTTCATTATCAAAGAAAAAAAAATTAAAGTATATAAATTTTAAACATTCTACTTACTCAGGTGTCTTTTGAATTGGATTTGGGTATTCCAATTCCAAAGAATCGACAGGAGATATTATTTTGTGTGTATATTGTTCATGTTGCCTTAAACTTATGCGCTTGGGAAAACATTTCTCGCAAATTTTGCACGTGTATTTGGGTTTTTCAGTTCTTTGGTGGGCCTAAAATAATTTTTTAAATATTTTATACTAAAAAATATTGAAAACTGCATACAATATTTATAACACGAGTGTCACAAGTTAATGTTTGGGTTGGAATTATCGAAAATCGGATGGTGGGTCCATATTTTTTTCGTGACAATACTTCAACTCACATTTCTATTGAAGGTATAAAGGTATTAACTCTTACCTTTAATTTATGGCACATCAGATTAGACATCTGGTTAAATCCTTTTTCGCAAATGTCACATTTATAAGGCCTAGCGTTTGTGTGAGTAAATATATGGTTGCGCAAGTTTCCTAAAAGTAAAAGGTTTAATTAAACTGTATTTTAACAAGTAAAAGAGCTTTGGATTTGATTAAATCGGAATACAACATGCCTAGAAATAAATAAGTTGTAACCCAACAGCAAAAAGATTCCAAATGTGTATTTATAATTCACAAATAACAAGGGATCATAATTTTTGTAAACTAATTAACAGAAAATAAAATAAAAACAAGGATGTTTTAGAGGTGAAAAACTTTGAGTTGACAATACTTTTTTTTGGGGGACAGGGGACGATTGCGCCGATGGTACCGACTATAATCAGGACTGGATTACGTTGTGGACACGATTGCGCTGCAACAGATTTAATCCTTACAAGACAAAAATGATTAGGTGGCTACTTACAACTTTAATTACATTAATTAGGTGTGCTCATTTCAAACAATAGTAAATACTATTTTACACTTAGTAAATATAAATCCGTAAGTGTATATTCTTGAAAGAAATTATTATATTTAGTTCCATTTTTCATTATTTATACCTAACCTATTTCATATAACGCATTTAAGCACGGAAGGTGGCGCGTATCATACCTAAGGATTAGGGATCATCTGAGTTTATTCAATCCAATCGTGCTCTCAGCTTAACGTACCTCAGGTAAAATCGGCGCAATCATCACACACTCTTTTTTTGATGGCAGCCCTTTTGACAACTCTAAACTGATTTATAATTTAATTTGCTATTTCAACATGAATAAACGCTTGTAATTGCTGCCAAATTGGAAAAAAAATCAATATTCATGGTTTTGTTCAAACTTCAGCCTGGATCATGGAGATTAGCGATCTAAAGTTTTCTCTAAAAGTTTATTCTAAATGATAATAAGCATTCATAGAGAGCTGTACGCTACCTGCGGGGTCACTGGTGGTGGAAAGTGGACGGCCTTTAGATATAAGTGCTAGCTGAGAAAATATTAAATACTGGAGGGTGTGGTAGGTATACCTTACGAAGGAATGCCTTACAAAATGCTGCTAAAATCCAACAAATGTACCGTCACATGGCGAGTATTACTACTATTAAATAAGCATAATCAAACCAAATCCAGGCAGCGATTTGTCCTGAGAATATCTACATGGAATGCAAAACATTATACAAGGCAGGCAAATCAGCCAATGCAGAAAAGGAACTAAAAAGGATGAAGTGGGACATACTAAGCATGAGTGAGGTGAGATGGGAACAAGAAATGTCAGCTCAAAAGAGACAGCTCAAAATGATGTTGAAATTCTAGTCTGTGGCAATTGCAAAATACGTTAAGAACTTTCTACAAATTACTCATCAAGTAATGCTGCTTAAACTAAACCGGCAACCATTTAATATAGACACACTGTGTAAAAATGTATAAATTTTAATTTAGTATAGTGAGTTTTTCAATAAAAATTTTTATTTGACTTTTTATACGGAGTTAATCGAAAGGTGGTTTTTATGCTAACTTTGAAACATCCAGTGGAATAATTTCGTTAGCGGATTTTCGAAAAACCTTGTTTTTCTTTTAACGACTTAAAACGACTTTTCTTATTATTACCATTATCTTTTGTATTAATTTGTAATACGACGATGAGGGCTTTGGTGACATATCGAAGGCTTAGCTTAACCTAAGTACGCAAATAACAAAGAAAAAACTACTAAAAAATAACTTAATACTTTGTATTGCCTCCCGTAGCCTATATAACTGCCTGTACACGTCGGCTCATGTTGTCTATGAGATTTCGAATATCATCTTATTGGATGTTTTACCATTCCTCTTCTAGAACCAAGCTAAGTTTGTTAAGGCTGGTGCGACTTTGCGACCTCTAATATTTCTACCATGTCCTAAATGTACTCTAGTGGGTTCAGATCTGGCGAACAAGCTGGCCAGTTCATTTTAATAATACCAACTTCATCTAAATATTGTGTGACACACACTTCAGAGTGGAGTCGCGCAATATCTTGCATTAATATAAAATCATCGTCGATATATTAAGAAAAGGGTACTACGTGATTCGCTGAAATTTCCTCAGTATACCGCTGTGCAGTTAACCTTAATAACGCCAATTCAGTGTGTGCCTCTTGGGATATTTCTGTCCATACCAACACCGAACCCCCTTCATGGCTAACACGGGACTGAAAGCGCACATCGCAAATCTCTCCAGTTCGGCGCCTTACTCGTTCTCTCCCATCTAATGAGTGAAGACAGTATCTCGACTGATCCGTAAAAAGAACATTACTCCATTATCCTAAATTCCAATGTAAATGTTCCCTGGAAAATTGTAGTCTAGCCACTCTGTGCCGTGGAAGTAATTTGGGACTAGTTGCTCGTCTGCAACTTTGCAAACCAAATTCATTTAATCTTTGACGACCTGTACATACACTCACATTATTGCCTTGAATCTCTTAAAGCTGATTTCTTGTTTGCACCGCTGTTAAATGACGATTCCGCAAAGCGTAGACTCGAATAAAACGATTATCTAAAGCGGCAGTTTTGATCTTCTTGCCACTTCCCGCTAGTTTGTTCCAGTTCGTATAAAACGTTACACTACCCTTTGGATGGTAGAGCGATGAGTGTGTAGTAGTCAAGCCACATATTCATTATTTCGCCCATCTTCAACCAGAGCAACGGCTTTCGCACAATCTTCGACACTAAGAACCATGATCAAGCATAGGTAAACAAAATGTAAGTGTCAATATGTCATAATGATAACAGTCACCATAATCACCATCACATAATTAAGTCCTAAATTGTGGGTGGTAAATTCATTTGGGTCTAAAAAATGAACCAAGACATATTTTGACATGAAACAAAAACCACAACGCTTAGGAGACATGGTTGCAACCGAAAAATAAGGTTTTATGAAAATTTGCAAACGGAGTTAAACCATAGGATGTTTCAAAGTTAGAATAATAAAACCACGTTTTTATTACCTCCATACAATAAATCAAATATACAATGTTATCAAAAAACTGACTATACGAAATTTAAATTTATAGATTAATATAAAGTGTGCTAAAAAAATCATCAAAATAGGACTAAAAATAAAAAAATTGAAATAATTTTATTTGAATACTAATTTTCTTCGTTGTGTTTTTTTAAGCACCTGAGTGTACATGGAGATCTCCTCAAGATGAAGATGATCATATTATTAGAAACCAATCAATGCTAGATACAGAAATAGCTTCGTTATACTAAAACCTACCCCAGATGCGACTTACAAACGGATCACAATTGAGTATGAGAGTGAAACTTAAAAAGATCCAAAAACCCAAAATAGACAACAGAATCAACTGAATGAGAGCACCTAAAGATTAAAAAAACTAGTACCAGCAACATTTGAACATAACTTTAAACACAAACGAGACGTAAACAACCAGACTTGTTCAAAGAACGGTAAAATATAAGATACATAGAGAATTCTTAAAAACGCCATCCTTGTAGCAGGAGAAAACACAATAGATAAAGTAGGTCGAAGAAAAAGGAAACCCTGAAAGAAACATTAAATATAGAAAATTAAACTAGCAAATATACCAACCAATTAAAGAAACTTAAGAAATGGGGCATGTTTAGGGGATAGATGTAAGGAAGTAGAATTCCAGCGTAAAGACGGACAATTATACAAGAAAATTAGATAGATTTCAGGCCTGTAGATATCCAAACATCTGTCAAAAATAACGATGATGAAAAAACAAATTAAAGTTAGATGCTGATAAGCAAAAACAAATTTGGAAAAGATAACTTATGGAATTATTTTTGGATAACATACCAGAATAAAGTTGACATATACTACGACCCTCCCAATTCTTTCCTCCGACGTAACACTGGCCATAATTGAAACAAAGCATAAACGGCACCTGGGAAGGAGAAACTGTTGCTACACTTAAAAAAAACTTAACTCCTACTGTAACACGTTTTTTAAACGTGTTTGTAAAAATGGGACCCTAACTGAAGACTGGCTTGCAAGAAAACGGCTTTATCCAAGAAGCATAGGGCAAGAAATTGTGATGATTACTGAAAAATATCTCTGATGCTTCACACACAACAATAGTATATTACTTTATGAGGCAGAGAAGCATGACTTTTCTTGACGCGCCCGATATTATGCGCCGAACTTCGTTCGGCGCGTAATAGAGGGCAAGTCAAGAAAAGTCGCTTCTTTGTCGAATACAGTATACTATTTTTTTCTTCAAACGTAGCAATTTTCAAACCATAAATAGTACAATTCATACGCTATTTTTACTCGAAATTAACTGTGACAACTATTAAGTCGTCTAGATGTTAGAAATTAAAATAATTAAGTCGTCGGCGTCGGTGGATTTGCGCCTCCCTGGTTACAGTTGTTTGCAATTATTAAAGACAGCTTATTGTTGTTGCAACCGCAAGCCCAAATTTAGTGCGAAAATGGAAAACCTAAACGAAATTGAGTCCGCGGCTAATGATGCAGTAGCACGTTTGGGGCCCACCAAGTCCGGAATAAAGTATCGGTTAGCGTACAAGCACTTCCAAAAGTGTGCGATACAGAGGATTACGGCAAGTTACCGAAGACGTTTTACTGGCATATTTTTAATATAATGGAAAATGAAAATAAATGGAAATCTTCTACAATTGTCACGATACTCTATGATAAAATCCGAGTTAGTTATTAGAAAAAATGTGGATATAAGCAAATTTTTAAATGAAAAAAAAAACAAGCGAAGGATATACTGCAAAAAAGTCTCAAATTTTCACTAAAGACGAGTTTGATAAATTTTTGTTTGAAGTGCCAGATAAGTTGTATTTAGGATTAAAGGTAAAAGAAATTATATTGCAAAGCATGTAGTATACTCTACTAAATTATAAAAATATTTCAGATTGTTTTGTTAATTGTTGTTACCGGCGCCTGCCGATGCGACGAAATGGTAAAAATGAAGACTGTGGACATTGAGGATAAAGAAAATGTAATAATTATCAAAATCCCAGACAGTAAAACACGACAAATTAGATCTTTTACGATAATTGGTCAAAACTACATTAAACTGTATAAAAAGTATGCATCACTGCGGCCTGAAAATTTTCACGAGAAAACCGAATTTTTATCAAGTACCAAAATGGAAAGTGTTACCGAAGCGTCATGGGAATGCATTTGATCAGCGCAGTAGCCCAAAAAGTAACTAGTTATTTAAATTTAAACGATGCAAGCGCATACACGGGTCACTCTTTACGACGAACTTCAGCCACACTTTTAATTTATGGAGGGGGAAATCTAGAATGCCTCAAACGAGATGGGGGCTGGAAATCAAGCACAGTTGCCGAAGGATATATAGAAGATTCAATAAGAAATAAGAACGATAATGCTCAAAAAATTTTAAAACCCTCATGATTCGCCAACATCGGGAATGATTGCTGAAAGTTGTTCTCAACCATCAGTATCATCAACAATTACCAATGCGTATCAAGAGTCGGGAACATTTTGGCACGGTTTCAATTTGAAAATGGCCTCATTAACTAATTATACTTTTAATATTACTATAAATAATAAATGATGTTTAATTGTTGTTAATGACATTTGTATTGTTGCTTTGTGACATGTTTCATATTGTTGCCATGACATTTTTCCCTCCGCCGTAAAAAAATGGAAAAAAAATTGCTGCCGGAGGAGACATCAAACTTTGACAGGATCAAGTTAGATAAGTAATGTCATTATTATTTGACGTTTGAAGAAAAAATTTTTTACGTGGATCATCTTTAATGGTATTTACAATAAATGCTATTTGCTCAATGCTACAGGCTCAAAAGTTTTACTTCACTAAAATAAAACATCCCTTTATCTAGTATGTTTCACAGTTAAATCAATGCACATCACGATTTATTCAAACTAACGTCACTTGGATGACATAATTCCCTTAACATCAACCTTAGAGTTCAAATTTCTCTAACACAGCTAATAATACGATACCCATACGGAACTGCTCGATCTTTCTTAGGCTTCAACATGGTATAATAGTAAGAAGAATGTAATGGTGATTTTATTGAGAATTTTAGAATTATATTGATTAAGTAACCAAAAATATTTTGTATTACTAATGATATAAGTTTTATGAAATAACTGTTTAAGTTTAATATTCCATAAAATGATAATTTTAATTAAATAAATTAGACAATCGTACGCCACTGATACGGGAATACTTCAAACTTCAAAGACAGTTTGACAAAATTGTTTACAGTGTTGCCGCCTTTTTGAATAAGAATTTTGTTTATATGTTTTGATTTCTTACACAATTTTTTCACAATATATTATTTATCTTATGAATTTTATTTATAAATAGTTTCATAGGTGCAATTTTGTTAAACATTTTCCAATGAACAGAATGATTGTAAATGGTAGTAAAATAGACATTGAATTATTTATATGTGCTTAGAGAATCTTTATAAACAAAGTGTAAAGCAACTATTATAATTTTTTCAATTTGAATTTTGCTATTTCTAGCCAACTTGGAAAAATAAAAAAAACAATAAATTTGATCTTAAAAAATATACAAAATCTGTGGGGTTCTGACGTCGTAAATTTTGAATAACGTGCATTGATTTTAATATGAAAAATTCTATATCAAACAAAATAATAGTTCATAATTAATATTAAACAAATAATTAAACAAAACGAATAACTCTGACAACAACAAAAAAGAATAAAAAAAATACTACTAAACATTGAAAGATGTAATTAAAGAATTTCGAGAGCAATTTCCAATCTTACCTTTCTGATGAAAAGCTTTAGTACATAGATGGCATCTATGGGGTTTAAGACCTGTGTGAGTTTTTCTATGGAAATTAGGGTGGAGAACTCGGTTAAAGGTTTTCTGACAAACTTCGCATATATACGGTCTTTCGGTGGAGTGGATAGCTCTATGTTGGGAAAGAGTCGACATCTGACGAAAGGCTAAATGGATTTGGAAAGGGGAGATAAATATTGGTTAGGTTAAAGGCTTACAATAGATAATAATTTGGATTCATAAAATAGCTTAACAGAACAAAATGGGCCCATTTACTTATAAATGTGAACGAATTTGTCATATAATTTGTACAGAGCTGTATTTAACTTTACGACAATATCTAGTATTTTCACTATCATGCTGAAATATTTTTTTATAGTTATATATTTTAAAATTTAAATTATTTTAAATATATTAGTGTATCCTGAAAAATAAATAAGAATTGATGTTAACTAAGCTCAAGTAATGTAAAGGATAAACATTAAAGATAATGATAAGTGATAAGACAGATAGATTAATAAAGAAAAAATCATGGATGACAGATGAGATCCTGAAACTAATGGACGAGAGAAGAGAAGTCAAAAATGAGACAGACAAATATAAAACCATAAATATATTAATAAAAATGAAACTCAAAGAACCGAAAGAAAAAGGCAGCAAGGGAAAGATGCGAAGAAATTGAGACTCTGCAGTCAAGATACGATAGTCACAATATACATAGGAAAGTTAAAGACCTCACAGGGGGTCTAACACGAACGCAGAAAGAAAATATAACTGATTCTGACGGAAACATCATCTTGGACAAACATATCTTTGGTCTTTAAATAGTTTTTCTAGATCTTATTTTAATCTGTTAGTACTTCTTCTTGTATATTATCAGGACTTCCGCTTTGCCATCCTTTAACTGTGTTATTGCGGAACATACTTCCTGCTGTATATTCTTGGTCCATCATTTACCTCTTCTTCTAGCTCAAAGGTGTTATATATTTGGTCTTTAAATAGTTTTTCTAGTTCTTATTTTAATCTAACACCTTTGAGCTAGAAGAAGAGGTAAATGATGGACCAAGAATATTACAGCAGGAAGTATATTCCGCAATAACACAGTTAAAGGATGGCAAAGCGGCAGTCCCTGATAATATACAAGAAGAAGTACTTAAACTAATGGACAAGGAATCAAGCATAATATTTGATAGTAGCCTCTAGTGTCGAAAACACCTAGAAAATACCGCCGAGTAAAACCACTCGCAAAAATATAATCCAAAAACTCATCGGGACTATTTGGGGTGCCAAAAACAATATTATGCACTTCATCTCTATTCTATTGCCTTAGTGTTGTAGATTTTTTTTGTCCACTCTCAATATCATATAAATTTCACAAGGTTTTTCTTTACTACTTCGATAATTATGTCTTAAAATCTTCGTAGCATTCGAAGAAAATAAGAATAATCTAAATGTTTATTTGTACTGTCCGATTTCTCTAACGAGATAGGTACTGTCCTGCTTTTATTTCGGTTTTCTCTCTCAATCCAGCATAGATTTTATAATAATATCTGAATTAAACAACCAACTAGGTGAGAGAAAGTCAAGATCAAGGGATCTTACGTTCCACAAAAAAGTTAAAAGTTACAAGGAAAAAGCGTGTCCCGTATCGCCTAGTGGACCTTTGGCAATGTGGGTGGCAAGTTTTCGACACGACGCATCACCTGCAAGAATACAGGTTTGCCAACATAGTTGTTTTTTTTTTAAACTGTAGTATACAGCCAACCACTGAACATTTCTTTTAATTTTTTTTTATATATCTTCAAATGGATAACCATCAAAAATGCCTTGAGAGATCATTAAACTGATGATACTGTAGTCTTTACAAGATTTGGAACCTATTTTCTTTAGTAGGGCGATAAAAGTCGATTTATATCGACCTGTTATACAATTTCTACGTAAAATTCATTATGACCATAGACTTTTTCTGCTTTCAATTGATTTACTGCATGTCAACGTCACATTCAAAGATTTTTGGACCACTGTTTTTCCGTAGTGTCCTATATAATTATTTATTATTTTAGTTGATCAATAAAAAGGTTCCCCACGTAATTTTTCCAAGTTACCCCCAGTTCTTCTTAGCCAATATCGGGCACAAAAAATTATAATAAAGGAATAAAACAAAAGTATGCATATTCTATAAGCTTATGTGAAATTGTATAGGAATGTATTATAAAGTGGTACCTGTAATTAAATTTAAATTGTACTCTTTCTTACCTTTACCACAAGTGACACATCGAAATTTTCTTTCATCGGTATGAGTTGGGACGTGTCTCATTAATGTGTAATGAGGGTAAACTCCTTCTGACCTTAAATTAAAATATGTATTAGATTATGAAGAATAATGTAAAAAAGTTTCGTTTTGTCCGTAGTGGCTCCCGCTTCATTACAGAATCTGGATTTCCGATATTCATGATTAGTACATGTTTTGATTAGTCAATTAAGCTATATCGTGATTGAATAACCCAAATTTAAGTTATCAATCAACGGTTATAGCCATGATACTGGACAAGAGAAATCCACAAAAAGTGTAGTGGTTTCTCCTTGCCTTCTCCATCCTTATGCCTTGGCTAGTGCCTTGTTCATTCTCAGGGCCAATCTCGTAAGCCCAAGACAAAATAAGGACTTTCTAATATAAATATATATATATATATATATATAGATATATATAGATAGATATAACTATATTATATATATATATATAAAGATATTCATTAAAAATACTTATTATTAACTTATTAAATTAAAATACATTAAGTTACTTACATATGCCACACTCCCAGATCTTCACATGCTTACCATCTTGGATTTTGATCTGACGAAATGGGAAATGTGGTTTCCATGAAGTGGATCTGGCAAAAACGATTTGCTTTCTACATCTTCGAGTTGCATAACTGTCCGGTTTCTGCAATCTGAAGGATACACATAGGATTAGCCATGGTCGATCACTGATACTAGCTGTTAAATTGTTGGTAATATTGTCTAATTGGGCAAACAAAGTCACATCGTCATATTCCGTTTTGAAGTCTTCCGTTTTAATACTAGAAATATTAATCAATTACATTTTCAGCTCAAGTAACAAGAGTGTGTTACAACCCCTAGTGTTGGCGAAACGTCGGGAACTAATCTTAGAAGTCCACGGCCTAACAGCCCAAACAAACATGTTTAACAATACATAGACACCCTGTATATTGTATTTTTATTGAAATCTTCACTTGAATTAAGTTCTATATCTTGAAGTTACTTTGGGTAGGGGAAATTCCAATGAAACATCCACCAAAAAAAAAAATAACAAGGATATAAGCCCAAAATACATAAAAAAATTAACTTCCCATTATTTTCTAACTAGAGGGTTTATTGAGTTGAATTTGTCCGTCTGTAGTTTAAGTTTTATGTCATCTAATATATATTTTGGTTAAAGGTTGGTAAAGGACCTCGGAGGCAGTACGAGTTGCCGAAGCTCACACTGCAATAAAACTCTGAGAAACGTCCACTGTTTTCTGACGAAAAAGTCGGAAGTTCAAGGAATAGAACTCAGCTCTGCCAACAAATCCTACTCTCACGTCCTCGAAGGCAATATGCCGCGTAACCACTGGGTGCATGGCGCACAATGGGTGTGCGTCATGTAGCTGACGAGAGAGGGTGAAAGGCGAGTTTCTGGCGCCTTAAAACTGGAACATATCGGCTATGGGAATAAACCCTGACAGAAAATTGGTCTTCAACCAGGTAAGCACCCTACTGTAGGACTATAAACCAGCCAGCTCAAAGAAACAGGTTATTGCCTCGGAACAGGACTGAATCTACGACGATGACCAATGTGAGAAAAAGGACAACGAATTCATGGAAGACGAAAAACATACTCCGAATCGGTACTTGGAACGTAAAATCCTTGAACAGCAGAGAACAAGAAATTACCAAAGAACTAACGGAGAAAAATATAGATATATGCGCACCCCAGGGACCAAGAAAAAAGGAAAGGGTCAAATTAATGCTAGATAATTACTTGTTGATTTACAGCGCGTGGCAAAAGAAACCAGAGCTAAAGAAGGAGTAGCCCTACTTTTACACAAGAAAATCATTGACCAATAGAGGATTGTAAATACATTTCACAAAGAAACAGTTTACGTAAAACTCAAACTAAATGATAAGTCTCTACTCATAATAGCCATTTATGCTCCAGATACAACAGAGACGCAGACACAAGAGAAAGCTTCTACGAACACCTCCAAAACACGATAATGAGGTCCCTAAAAATGAATTCATGATCGTTACGGCGACTTTAATACCCGTGTTGGCAACGACATCGTACAGGGATAAAACAGCGTCATAACGAAGACATCAGAAATGAAAATGGAGATCTCCTCACGGACCTATGTAGCACGAATGAACTACGCATCAACAACAATTTTTTCCCTCATAAGGAACAATACATATACACATTCGAAAATAACAAGAGGTCAAAGGTCAATGATAGACTACATCCTGACGAACAGGGTAATACATCCCTCTCAAGTATTGGACAATAAGAGCAGTAACATCTGCAGAAATAGAAAGCGACCATAGGCTTATACTTGGAAAAAATCAGAATGACGACACGCATATGTAACAATAAAAACAATAAAAATGAAAAAGAAGAATACACCACAAAGGTAAAAGTCGAGAGTCTGCAAGAACGAATCAACAAAACTTCTATACCAAAAGAGAGTCAAAGATAACTCGACAACGTGCACATCGTAGCAAGTGATGGAATCGAAGAAAGCTGAGCGAAAATTAAAGCAAGCATCCTAGATTCAGCAAAAGAAGCTGTAGGAGAAAGGAAAATTCTTAATAAATAAATATTTCCAAAAGCGGAAAACTCAGTGGTTCTGCGCAGAAGTGAAAGAAAAATGCAAAGAAAAAAAGAAGCTTACTTAAGATACATGTCTAACAAAAACACCACAAGAATACAATAGCACTAGTAAGAAAAATTAAAACAAACACTGGGAACGCTTCTCAAAAGAAATGGAACACGACTTTTACGGTCTATAAAAGGAAATATGGCGTTTCATAAGAGGCCAAAGATCAGAGATGAAAGACTTAATCGAACCGAAACACATAGATAACGACACATGGATTGAATACCTAAGAAAGCTTTATAATGATGAACAGCAAATGATGTTAGAACCAGAAACACCAGAAATCATTACAAACGAGAAGTCGAGATAACCGTACAAGAAGTAAAGCAAACTTTAGAAAAACTGAAGAACAGAAAAGCTGCAGTAAAGATGGAATTCCAAATGAATTATTGAAATATGGTGGAGAAGCATTAACAGAACAGCTAACAGCACTAATTAACAAAATCATCAAACATAATAAAATACCTGAAGAGTGGAAGAAAAGCGAGCTTATCCAACTATACAAAAAAGGAGATAAAAAACAACCTGAAAACTACAGAGTATCAACTTATTAAAACACCACTTTGAAGCTTACAACCAAATATTGCAAGGCCAAATAAATCAGAGAATTACCTTAGCGGATGAACAGCAGGGTTTTCGCACAGGAAGATCGTGCACAAATGCAGTATTCATCATAAAACAGATTACCGAGAAAGCACTAGAGTATAACAGACCGCATTCATATGTCTAATAGACCTGAAGAAAGCGTTCGATAAAGTAAAGCTTAAAGATGTAATTCACCTTCTTTACGATAGAGAAATTCCACTAAATGTTATAAAAACAATAGAGAACATTTACCAGAACAACAATATGGAAGTCAGAATAGATGACCAGCTTACAGATCCAATAGATATGGGCAATGGAATAAGACAAGGAGACTCGCTTAGTCCAACGCTATTCAATCTAATCATGGATGAAATCATCAATACTATTAATAAAGGAAGAGGATACAAAATGGGGAACAAAGAAATCAGAATACTCTGCTATGCAGATGATGCGGTCCTAATTGCATCCAATGAAGACGATCTACAAAGACTAACCCATAGATTCAACACAAGGGCAAAGGACTTTAATATGGTGATCTCTACACAGAAAACTAAAACAATTGTAATCAGTAAAGAACCAATTAGATGTAAACTGGAAATCGACGGTATCAGCATTGAGCAAGTAATGGAGACAAATTACCAGAAATTACACTGTCTAGCTACGGAGATGTGGAGAAGGAAGTGAAAAATCAAGTACAAAAGGCTAATAAAATAGCAGGTTGTCTTAATAACACGATATGGCGCAATCCCCACATTAATACCGACGTGAAATCAAGAATCTACAAAGTAACAATAAGACCAATGATGACAAACACTTCAGAGACAAGACCGGATACCTCCAAAACTCAGCAACTACTAGAAACAACGGAGATACGTTTACTGAGGAGAATTACAGGAAACACACTGAGAGATCGAATGAGGAGTGGAAGAGATCAGAAGAAAATGCAATATACCAGAAATAAATGAGTGGACACTGAACAGAAAAAAGGAATGGAACGAACACATAAACAGAATGGAAGAGACCCGATTAGTCAGAATAGCGAGGGACAAATCACCAAAAGGTAGAAGAAGTATCGGGCGACCACGCAAAAGATGGAGTGATAACCTCCAATAGAGGCATTAATCGACATTGAACAAGCATTTTGCTTATAAAAAAAGAAGAAGAAGAAGAATATATATTTTTTAGACCTTGTTTGGGTAAGGGGGGGGGTGCTGGAAGGGAAAGTGGTATCTGCGCTATTTGCCTTATCTAAAACAGGAGATTATCATGATGCAATGAACTACGACAATTACAAAAAGTGGCTTCAGGATAAACTGATACCAAATTTTGCCCCGAACAGCGTTTTAGTGATTGATAATGCACCTATCACAACGTAACAAACTGAGAAATGTCCAACTATGTCTTCCAGAAAAGCAGAAATAGAGCAGTTGCTGACAACTCGAAATATTTCGTATACAGATTGCATGTTGAAATTTGAACTATACGAGATTATAAAATTACACAAACCTCGCTTTAAAACGTATGAAATTGACAAAATACTCGAGGATAAAGGACAGTCATTTTACGTTTACCCCCGTATCATCCGGATTTGAATCGTACAGGGCTTCTATAAAGTAATATGTCGCTGAAAAAAATGTCAATTTTGATTTTAAATTAGTGGAAAGTTTGTGTGATGAATTTTTTAATTCGTTTTCAGTCGAACAATGGAAAAGGAGGTGTGAACATATTTAAAAAATAGAACAAAGTTATATGGCACAACAGCCAGCTTTTGACACCCGTGGTGGATCAAAATAATGTTAAAAATGTGTCGATGTATAAAATGTATTAAAGGTGTCGATAGTAACAGTGATTTTGAAAATGACGGGATAGACTCTGATTCTGAGTCAGATGATTCAGAAATATGAACTTGAGACACTGATGTTGCGTTTCTTAGAAATTGTTAGGTATTATAATCTCTTTTAATAATTTTTTAGAAATAATGTAATTTTTATTTAGTTCTCCGCGGACGATTGTAGCAGTCGAAACGAAAGAATTTTTAATTTACCGCCTTAATCATTTATAGGACCCCTACACGGTCATTAATAATCACATTACAAACTATTTTACATTCTTATTTTTAATATTTTATATGAATTAGTTATATAATACTATATATCTGATTTTTTTTAAAGAGTTTACATTTCTTTTCATACTTTGGGTAAATATTCAAAGATAAAGGCCGCTTTCAACAAAAGGTACTGATACAAAGACACTATGGCATATTTATATACTTCACCGCAACCAAACATCTAATTGCTGTTAGTATTGCATTAGACGATTTTATTACTACTTTATTACCCTACTGCTTACGCCCTTTTTCTCCGAAACCTTTTGGTTAATATAAAAGTATAAATGGTCAATATAAAAATATAATTTTTGGTTTATAATGCCATAATTTATAGCAACACAAGTGGTTTTTGTTGGATCTATTTTTTTACATCTCACTTTGTGGAACAAATACCACAAATATACTGAAGAAAAGTAATGACAATTTCCTTCCGAGTGGGTTATAACTTCATTCGTTGCGCAGGCAGTTAGAATTTCAGACTTTCAGCTATTTTTGGTAAACTGTATGTTTTATGGCAATAAAAAAAGAACAACTTATTCTCAAAACAGTGTGAATGAGTTTTTAACTAGATTTATGCCAATAAAAAAAAAACAAAAAAATTATGTTCAGATTTCCAAAGGATTTTAAAGATAAACAGTGCATTGGTTAAAGAAAATTGTAGCATTGGTGTATAGCATAGCTGATAATAGTCAATATTATAAATATTGGTGGGTATTTTTTTTTTATATAAGTAATAAATAAAATAATATTTATTGTGTATATCTAAAATATAATACTTGTACATATAAATATAAGAAATACAGCTAACCATATTTTGGTATCCATTACAAGATAAACAAATATTTTCAGATAACTGAGATTGAAAAAATATTTTTATTTTCAAAGAAAACTTAATTTTTTTCCTTTGTCAGGTTCTAACAGTCTAAAATGACCAATTTATGTACAGTTTAGGTATATGTGTACATCACAGGTTAATTTGTTGTTAACTTAGTGTGCACTCTACAATACAATAATTATTACTAGTGTGTGGCTTATATGGATTATGAAGCCAAACTCTTCACTACACACATACATAACCTAATAATGCCTATAAATATAGTTTCTTAAACAATTCTTCATCAAAAGCAATAAATTAATACTATAAAACAAAATGGACAATAAATTAAACATTTAAGTAACATGGAATTTGGCAGCCTTAAAAATAAAATAATAATAATAATGGAACCAGACAACATATTTAGCTCAAGCATAACTTCACATTATAAACTAAGACAAAAGAAAATACAAAACAAATTCAGAAGACTGTAAGTAATTATGAGTTAGGCCAAAGAATTATAGCTCTAACTAGATGTAGAGATGAAAAAGTAGAGAGAACAAAATGTAGAGATGAGAATGATGATTATAATAAAACACCTGTAAAAATAAATCAAATAAAAACAGTATATTAAATAAGAAACAGATAGTGATGTTTAACTATCTTATTTGATTAGTATTTATGTAATATTCAACCCTCTCAATCTAATCTTGAGTTAACATGGCATACATATCATAAAAATAAAAAAAGCATGCATTACATATGTCTACAAACTTTGGCAGATAAAACAAATAGAAATTTTTCTGTAAAAACTGAAAAAGCTTTATGTTGAACAAAGTTACATATTATGAATAACTACAAAAATGAACAACTGCTGTTGACTTTTGTATTATTACAATAAAAATATTTAGGGAGTCATTCTACCTACATCAACATAGAGAACTATGATTGAAACTATACCAATAAAGAAATGAACATTAGTAAGGGAATAAACTTTGTATAAAAATAACTGAAAAACTCAAATATTAGTTACTTCTAAGGAATAATTTAGATATAAAAAAGCTACACAAAATAATATAAAAGGACCTGCAATTATATCTAAAACTTACAGCATACAGCATGCATTCATCATCAACTTAACAACAGAAAGCCAAGAATATACAAGATGTAAGTGAATCCCCAATATCTATAACATAAAACTGAAATTATCTATAATATATAATCACAATGCCAAAATAAAAAAAATAATTAATTAGATGTAGCTACTTAGAAGGAGAAATGTAAACAACTAAGTACATCACTGGAATAATAGGAGTCAAAGTGGTAAAGATTGTAATAAATAAAAAGCCTATAAGAACAGGCAACTGAAAAAAAGGAATCTCTTTTCCCTACATTTATTGTTGTGAAAATAAAAATATGTTACATAGTATCAAAAAAAGGTAGGTACCTACTTAGCAGGAGAATAACTCAAAATTTCACAATAATTAGAGTTGTAACAATAATGAATGAATGGGTTTATGAGTTAAATGTATATAGTAAAAAAATATGGTAGAGCTTCATCTTGACTATTAAGATTTGAATAACATGCATTATGTACTTTTGCCACCTATTTTTTTACACACTCAATCCTTACAACTCACCTATTGGAAATTTCATTAAAAGATGAAAAGTTTATATCATCAGGAAACTGGTACTCTTGTTTTTCCATTAAAGGAGAGTTAATATAAACCTAATTTATATTCTTTTCAATAGTCTAGGATCTCTTACAAAATTTTGGTCTTAGTAATATGTAATTTTCAATTTTAGTTTGTTTTTGTAATAAAACAAAAACTCCATCAAACATTGATTATTTGTATGGAATAATTCAGCAATCTTTTTAGTTTTTGTTTAAATTAAGAAAATTGAATGAGAGAATACTGGGAATTGCTACCCTTCAAACAGAACTTTTAAAACTGTCAAACATACTAGCAACTTGATTAATTTAGTAGTAATAGAGTAGTAATAAAGAGTACATGGACTGAATTAGACATAGATTATTTATTTAAAATATAAATTGTAATATAATTAGTTGAAAATTAAAATGTTCAAAGTAAAACTTACCCATTATCACAGAAGAATTAAGTTATTATTCTGATATAGGCACTTATTATTAAGTATATGCCTGCAACATTATAGATTGCTATGTAAATTAATTAAAAGAGGAGAAAACAATTTATTTTTATTAAATGAAAACACTGCTGCTAATACACAAAATTTCAGATCTATAATAATAATTCAAAATGAAAATTTTAAACCCATTACAAAAATTTATTTGTTGACAATATGATTGTAGCGCCTCTATTAAGAACATCTGAAAGACATCTATAGATTCCGTTTGATTATATTTTATATATTGGTCTACAGATGTCGCAGCAATCTACGTTTAAAAACGTTTTGAAAATATTAAGCATTTTTATATATACTAAATTTTAACTCTACTATTATATTATTTATCTATGTATAAGCATTTAAAGTATTTTTTTTGTGGTTAAAACTTAAATCTCGATACGCGGATTTTTGTAATATAAAATTAATATTCATAATAAAAAAAGTAGTTTATTTTGATTTAGTTAAAATTAGGTACATTCTAAATTCAGACAGTTTAATTTGTCAGACAAAATGTTTTAAATTTTTTTAGCTAAATTCAATAGAAAGGTTTATATCTATTTATTCCTTACAACTAAATATATTTATAATTAAATTTATTGAATAAATTATTCTTCAGATTTTTCTTCGATTGTTTGTTTAGACCGTATTTTTTTATGATAACAATATGCTACAAAATATTTATATTTACGTTATACGGATAACACATTTTTGTATGTATTGAACAATATTAAGTTATTAAGGAAACTAAAATTATTATAAGCATACACGCAATATATTAACATGAGCTGAGCAATGGCAATAACTACTTATCTAAGCAGTCTTTTTTTTTGGTGAAGCGAGGAGACTGGGCAGTTTCGATCATAGACGTAGGGGAATAAGACATTGCCTCTCACTTTCAAATTTGGAGCTCAATTAAGTCGATATTATATTTGTGGATGTATTTCGTTTGCAACTTAACAAAATTTCAATCATAGAAAATCACTTCATATAATAACGCCTTGGGTTAATTTATACCGAGTAAAATAGTATACAGTAATACACCACATACACAGTGAGACTGTCTCAGTCTGTACCAGTTTGTAGGAAAACAAACCACGAAAAATTGCTACCTTTTTAAAAGAATCAATGAGTAGGGCGGTAAATTTAGTTATAAATGAGAACATATCTTTGCGAAGAGCCTCCGAATTATGTACTGTATTTAACAAGACTGTACATAACTGCTGTACATAACAAGAACAACATTTGAAAGAGTAATTGGAAACCTGTAGCAAAATCACGTATGGGCTAACGACTTTAGATGTTCATAAACTGGCTTATGAAGTTTCTGTTGTAAATAAACTGAAAACGCCAGAATCATGGAATTCAACAAAAATGGCAGTTTAAAGCAAGGTTTTATGCAACGCTGCAAAACTTTAAGCATAAGACAACCAGAGGCTTGTAGCTTATCAAGACTGACTTCTTTTATTAGACACAATGTAAAAATTTTCTTCGAAAATCTCCGTAATATATTGAATAAAAACCCTTCACTTTCCCAAGGATTGAGAACTTTTAATTTAGATGAACGAGCTCACCACTGTTCAGAACCCTAAAAAGATTATTGCAACAAAGGGTGTCAAGCAAGTAAACCATTGTATGACTGGTGAACGAAGTGAACTGGTTACAATGTGTGTCATTGTATCTGCTGCTGGAACTTCTCTGGCACCAGTCTCAGTATTCCCTAGGAAATTTTTCAAGCAGCATATGTTACAAGGTGCTCTTCCCGATACATTAGAGTTGGCAGCACAAAGCGGCTGGATGAACACCGAATTATTTGTCGAGGTATTAGAAAATTTTATTAAACAAACAAATAGTTCAATAAATAATCCTTTTCTATTGATTTATGATAATGCAGAGTGTCACATATCTGCAAAAATAGTTAACTAGAGGGGCTGGAGTTTTTATATTAACTTTGCCTCCACATTGCAGCAATAAAATGCAGTTCTTGATCTAACAGTTTTTGGACCGTTTAAATCATACTAGAAAAGAGAATATGACAAGTGGATGCTATCAGGGATACAATTTACAATAAAGCCGAGTGTATTCGCCTTGCGTTTTTGGATGCTTTTACCCCAGCAATATAGGTAAAGGATTTGAGAGATCGGGGATTCATCCATTTAACTTTGATATATTTGGAGATGGTGGTTTTCTTCCAGAAAGCGTAACTGACAGACTGTTAGATACCTATAAGAGCACAGATCTATCTAATGTACCAGGTCCAAGCCATGGTAATGCTGCTGTAATAAATTCTGTTAACGAAGATAATGATGTTGAGACACCAAGTCAATAAGCTGAAGTAACTGAAGTTGCTCAAGTTACTCCATCAAAAGAAGGCATTAAGTTTTTAAACCCTGAAATTCCCTCAAGACCAAGGAAGACTGTCAGGGCAAGGAGAAATAAAAAAGCGCAATGTTAACAAGTACCCATGAGAAATTACTTATTGAAGAAAAAGAACAAAAGAAGGGCAATGAGTCAAAAATCTAAAACCTACATAAATGAACTTTAATCGTTAAAGCAGAAATATTTTAGAACCAAGTGATATAAGTAAAAGTAAAGAGGAAGTTGAATAAAAATAGGATTCTTCAGACAAAAAAATGGATTAAGAAAATTTTATGCTGGATAAAGGTTCGAGTATTCCAGTAATAGCAGGAAAATTTGTGCTCATACTGTTCTCTGATATAATACACTTTGTTGGAAAAGTGACAGTAACAATATAGCTATAATACCTCTTATTATTGCATATTTCTAATTTTTCTTTTAATTACAGAAGTAAAAAAGCAGGATATAGAGAGTTCAGAGTATCGTTTTTGAGAAAAAGCAATAAAATAGACCAACCATATTGACCCAACCAATTGAAATAAGAAAGAGGAAGGACTTGAGAGCACAGAAGACTACTGAAGTGGAGCAGGAGATAGTTAGGATAGGTTGGGTTAGATTAGGCAAAAATCAAAAACATTATAGGTTAGGATTTCTACTTTACACTACCTACTAATCATTCTTTGTGTTCCATCAAAATAAAACAACAAATTTCCCACTACTAATTTTATGTTTCAGGTATGTACTACAAGAAGATTAACCGAGAATTCATGAGTTGACGCCGTGTAACATCAGGCACGAGTTCTGTGGTCAGACTCTTCTAATGGTCAGCTGGCGAGGAAAACGCTATTTTCGTAATCGGCAGCTGACCATCCAACACACAAAAAACCACTGTACGAAGAGCTAGCTAATAAAGACAAAATCATGGTCACTTGCTCGTCGGACCGGCTTACGAAATAGACAAAAGGCATATATAGAGGGTTTACAAGAAAAAACAAGGTAAAAAGGACAGAAAGGGGAAACTACGACATCACTTACATAGAAGCAGCTTCACTGCAGAAAGACCGTTCTGATTCTCCATCTTCCAGGCCAATAAATATCAGAAAACAAATAAAGCTTTTCCAACATTCATTTAATATTAACATATCTCTAAAAACTAGCATATTTCTACAAATTCCATACATTTTGATTTATCTTCATCAGTCATTGGCGGACTAAGACTAAGACAGGCCCTAGGCAACATTGTATTCTGCGTTTGGTAGTTTAGTTGTTTCAAAGCATATAGTATGTAGTTGTATTCAATTATCGCATTTCAAGAAAAAAATTCGAATGGTTAAATAAATTCTCTGAATTGTGTTTAAATTAAAGAAAGTTGCAATATTATTATTCTTAATAAATGACCACATGGATAGAGGAAAAATAGTTTTTTTCTTTAGTTATAAAAGTCTTAGATTGTAATTCTTCATTTTTCAGTTCTGCTAGGTTTAAATCTTGTTCACAACATTTTTATTCCTCTATTGTAGAGTCACTAAGATCACTCTCATGAAAATTGTCTTAAACTTAACCCTAGAAAGGTGGACTATTATTTACTGACAGTTATGGTGGACTATCGTAATTTTTACGACATCTAACAAAAAATTGAAAAAAAACACAAATGTAATTATAAACACTTTTATTACAAAAAATTAGAAAAAATGTAAGCCTTAGTCAGTGGTACACAGATAAATAAAGTCGATGTACACTACTCGTTTGCACACATTGTACATATATTACCTCGGTGTTCGCCACATATAGCGTGATGGCATTGGTTGCAATATGTGGTAGTCATGCGCCTCTTTTTACTAGGACAATGGAAACATGCCTTGCGTTTCTTTTTTTCAGGTAACGGACGTTCAACTTCTTCGGAAATTTTGAGGACATCTTTAATATTTTGCTTAAGATTTCGACGTAAAGTTGGAATACACAATCGTTCTCTCAGCCAGGGTTCGGCGAGATGACGAGCCAATTCAACCATATATTCGTATCTGGATAAAACTTTTCTGTTTGCTTTTAATGTGTTTGTGGTGTAAATAACATACGAGTTAATACTTGCAATATTTATCATATTATAGAAGATACACAAAGGCCATCTCCTCGTTTTACGACCCGCATTCATATTCGAACACATTTGATCAAATGTATCCACTCCGCCTTTTGTTCCATTATAATCAGTTATTATAGTGGGTTTGCCATTTATTTTGGAAACATCAGCACCTTCGTGAAGTGTTGAAAGAAGTAAAACTACCTTATTTTTCTTTGGCATATATGATACCAATGTCTTTCTTTTATCAAAACAAAACATAGATGTATTGGGGACTCTGTTCTTTACATTTAACAATTCCTGTGGAATTTCTCTTTTATTTTTGCGAAGAGTTCCGATAATTGTCAGTTTATACTGATCTTTTAGTAACTCCTCTG